AACTGTTAGTTGCAGCCCCTGTCCCATCATCCACACCGAGCTATCTGAACCCCTGCCTTCAGAAGATTTTCAGGGCTTATAAAACAAGGGCGAGATCCTGGGCCTGTCATAGAAGTCCCAACAAAACTAAAACTATTTTAATTCCCACAACATTAAAATACAGGAGTTTTGGTTAATCTGGTTATGACCTAACATAGGATATCAACACACATAAACTCACACCTCTACCCCTCTATATCAGTAATAATGGAACTGTGTGTACTGTGTATAAATCAGTAGTGCATTCTCTGTGTTGCCTGGCAACTGATGATGATGGGACTGTGAGGTGTCCTTGTGAGGAACTTTATTAGAGACCATGCCTTTTCAAACAAAATACAAAAGATAAAAGATGTTTTTAAAGATGAGTAAACATATTCATTTTAAGATTTACTCCAAAGTCATAAAACTGAATTCTAATTAGGTTATTTAGATAACTGCTATCTTTGTATCTAAAAAAAAACTGAAACTAGTTGCATCAAAACTAACTAGTGAAAATTGAAGTGATGCCCAAGAAACAAGAGAACGGGAAATTACTCATTTTAACAGAGTTTGGCTCTTAAACCACTGAACAGATTAACTAATAAAGTGGTAAATTAACATGTTTTATAAACTTGTTTAATTAAATTGACAGCAGAGGTTGTTTTTTTTTTATTGAACCAAACTACATTATTTTGATTTGTAGCTGTAAAAGTGGATGGTGATAATAACTGTACAGTGGTCATAATTTTGGGCTGGGTGGTGAGGGGTTATTAAAGCTTGGGAAGAGAAGTGTAACTGTTATTATGATTTAATTATGTCTGATAAGTCAGACTTTTATTGTTAACTTTACAACTTCTAGTTTTGGGTTATTATTGTTTTTAACTAAAATTGAAACCGAGCATTCAGGGATCTCCAGTTCTGCATACTGTGCAGAATATCCGTCACATAAAGTCTTGAAGCTGAATATAATAACAAGAGATTGAAAAGATGGAGAGGAATCAGGCTTGTTTTCTGTTTCCATGACAACAAGAGCTGCACTGCTGCTATGGCGACAGCACGCATGAAAAAATGTATCTATGAAGTGTATCACTGAGGAGTTGAGTAGAGAGGCAGGTGAAGGTCTGAACAATGGAGGTGCTCAACCTCATGTTCTTTTCTTTTTGTCATCATTTTCTGCTCACGTCCCTCCATCTCTGCTTCTGCATTTTACATTCTACTTTCTTGCTCCCACTTTTAACATATACTGTCTCTTATTCATGGCAGATTTTTTTTTACTATTTATTTTGCAGCTCCTCAAACTTAACAATTGTTAAGAGTCCCTTGGATGACATAATCTGAATGATATATGAAACAGGATGTGACATATTGCTAGCTATCCAAAAACCTTTCATGAATAAAAAAAATCCATCCCGACTCTTAAACTCAATTTCAGTATTGCCTCTTTAAATGTTAACATTTCACAAGTGAACTTCTGACAAAGAGGAAACCTTGTTTAGACAAAAATCGTGACCATTAAAAGTTTAAGTTAAAACATTTAGTATTTTTAGTAATGCTTTTCATTTTATTTACATTAATTTGAATCTTAATTTTCAATCTTAATTTTTAATTCCCTTAATTGGTGAGCATTTTGTCTAATCAATGTACACATGGATACAAGAGTGACAAAGATTTTCAATTGCCCCCTTAAAATCACTCACTGTAGGGATTCACAGACAGACAAAGAATTAAGCACCAAGGCATGCAAACTGCTCCTGCACAAAAATGTCAGAGCATGGGTCAGTTACTCCTATTTTAATGGTTTCTATTATTACTCTACTAAACCTTATGAAAACTCTTTCCATTACAGTTCAAATATTTAAAGGAAAAGTCTGGTCATATTCAGAATTAGAACTTCTGAAAGAACTTTAAATATGAAATTATTACCTACTGTTCAATAAATGATAAGTGTTTTTAATTCAGAGTAATTTTTATTTGAATGTTCTTTACTGGGGGTATCTATGTTTGTCAAAGAACCCTACTGCCACCTACTGGTTAGGGACGTCACGGTGCGGTATCGGCTGTTGATCAAGTCCCAGTGCTGTATCTGGTAATTGGCCCAATGCGCTATTATCCAAAACATCTTGAAAACATTGTTCCTCCAAATGTTGGCTACATATTACGTGTTTTTTCTCTGGCCAGAAGTTCGATGGCAAATCCTCCCTCTTCTAGTTGGCGATCCAACGACAAACCCGTCCGTTAAGGATCAGGAATCAGAAAGGTGAAATAACCAATTTTTTAAAATTTTACCCGATGTATTCCAACATCTAGAGTCATGCATGTGGGCATTGTCAGTTTCACTATAGCTCTGGTGAATTTCAATGGTGAAGTCCACTGGAAATCTTCAATAATTGTTAATGATTGCAGATGTGTCTAGGAGTTCCCATTGATTTTGCTTGTAAAGCGGGGAGAATGGCGCTAGGCTTACCGCACCGTGACGTCACTGCCGGCAAACTCATAGAGTCAGTGATTGCGACGAAAATTATAATTAAAATTTTTTTACTGATTAAGGCTAAATTCATTAAATCACCGTTTTAGATATAGATAATGATCCACTGATTATTTCTTACTTAGTGGACTTTTCCTTTAAACCTGTACAAAGCTCCTTAAAAAATGCTATATATTACAATTGTTCATACAGTATATGTATGAATATATGGAATCTCCTCCCCCCGTACCTCAGTGAGGTCTAAAAGGACAAGCTTTATATTCAGTAAAAATAGTGCTACATGGCTGTACATGTTATTTTGGCCTTTGACCAATTAGATGAGCCCTTGAATGATTTATTACCTATTGTACAAGTTATAAAAACACGCAAAAAACTAAAAGAGAAAAAACTTTTATTTGTCTTTACATATCAGGGCAAGTTCCTGTCCTTGTTATTACATTGACCTTAATTTTTACCATCAAATTTATCCATGTTTTTTGAATGTTACAGAAGTAATACGGTCTTGTCCTGTCCTCCAACAACACTCTTGCCTTCTATTTTGATCATCAAAGTATTTCAATGAGTGTCCTATAAATGTTAAATCCTCAGTGTGCGCAGTCTTCTGCCAGGTGGGGGTTAAAGAAGACGGAAGCCGATGTACAAAATAACCATAGAAGCCCTGATGCATGAATACTTTCTACTGTATGTTGGAAAGGGTGATGGTGAACTAGCTCCATAGGTGGCTGTGTCTTAGTAAGAAAGGGTTAACTAGATAAGCTCTAAGGCAATTTTCATGTCAAAAAGGATAAAAACGAGCACCCAGTTAGGGGAGAAAATAAATAATTCTGCAGAATTCGGTAACAGAACGTATCCTAGATTTAATTTATTGAAATCCAAACTATGCACCTGAGCGAAAGTCTAATTAAGTTCCTGTGTTGCTTCAACTTTACGTTCCTGTAGAATTTTTTTATTTTATTTTTTTACATTACAGTGTACGATCTTCTGAGCACTACACTGAATAAAGAACCTTCTACTGTAGCAGCCATTCAAAATTGCCCTCCCAGTCATAAGGCAGCTGAACGGCAGCCCACTTCCCTGCATCTCCCAGCAAAATCCCCTCCAACTTCCAGCAGCTGGAGTGACCTCCTCCTTCTCCTGGGCATGCATATTTTTTTACTCTGACTCCACCCTTACACTGAATTACAGAGCCTGACCAGGAGATGAAGCTTCTCTTTAGATCTTAATGCACACAAATTATGACGGAAAGAATATTTTAGTACAAAGATTGATGTTTAAAAAGGAATTGTAAGGGACCAGCAAAGGACCCATCAAGGACAGTGGGGAAATTTTGAATGGTTACTACTGAAAAGATTGTGTGTTCACAAAAAGACCAAGAAAAACCAAAAATAAAAAGTTAACCTTTTATTTAAAGTTTTGAAGAACTAGAATTTTTGATGTCAGTTTTCAGAAATGCTGTAGGTTTCACTATGCTGGTGAAGATTCTTAGTCATCCAGGTCATAGTCATTCCAGAAAAGTAAAAAAAAACAAAACACTGGACTGTCATGTTTGGGTTTTCAGACTCTGAATAGGAGCAAATTACGGAGGCAATGATCAGTTAAGGGTTTTATTGAAGATTTGTGGTGTACAGAGAGGAGTCCGGCAGGCGGGTTGTCAGGATACTGCTGGAAGAGGTGTGGTGACAGGTGAGCAACAGTTCGGTGCTGGTGGATGAGTGAGGGATGTATGAGACTCACAGAGAGGACGGCTTGGCGTCTGTTTGGGAGGATGGTGTCCAGTGGTCCAGACTATAGGTGCAGGTCCGGTTGGTGAGATCAGATGGTGGTGTCTGAGGGTGGACAGGCAGGTGAGCTCAGGCAGGAGGGCTTCTTATGGTTCTGAGGCCTGAAGCCTCACTGGTTCCTAGAGGCTGACTGAAAACGCCTCTAACGGGGGTCCAAAGCGAAGAGGTCTCTGGAGTGGTTTCAAGGCTTGGAATCCTGGGTTCTAGGAGAAGGGAGCAGAGAGGACAGGGTTAGATTCAGGCAAAGCTAAGGTGCTAGGCTTGGTTCTGGATCAGTTGTACCAACGCTGGAGCATTAACAAACTGACGCCCTCCTCCTGGTTCCAGCTCCTTAAAAAGGGTGGGAATCAGCTTGATGAGGAGCACCTGCCCGTCCAGCCCTGCAGAGAGAGAAAAAAGGAAAAACCCAGCCTGCACCCAGGACTGGGAGTATGACATGGACTTTGTTTCCAACTTTGAAGAAGTTTTGCTTCCTATCCAGGAAGCTTTTTTTGAAATGAAAAAGCTTCCTGGATGGGAAGCGAAACGTCTTCAAACTTGGAAACAAAGTCCATTGGATTGTTTTTTTTTTTTTTGCTTTTCAGGAATAGTTTTTTACTAATAGACATCTAAAAAATGCTGGAACATTTGCAAACAACCCGGAATAACCCCTAATCTGCATGTAATCGTACAAATCTTTCTTACCTACAAGATGTGTCTTCTTCTCTTTGTGGCAGTTGCCAGAATGTGGATTCTATGGGATGTATGAAAAGATTCTGCTGTTTCGTCATAACCCGACTTCGGACAACATTCTGCAGCTGCTGCGCTCTGCCTCACAGATCCAGGAGGGGGACTTGGTGGAGGCAGTCCTGTCAGGTGAGGATGGCGAGCAGAGCCGATACGGTGTGGATGTCTCATTGTACACATAACAATACATTGAGGATATAAAAAAAAAAAAAAATGTGTGTGAAGAGCTTGTGAAAATGTTTTCTTACACATTATTTAGTTCCTTTAACAAATCTAGATCTTTACTGATGAGTGATTCATCATGGTATACCATAATGTCACAACTGTAAACTTATTTAAAATTCCACCAGTAGCACTGTAAAAAATGTAACTGTCCTTTTTTTCTTGAATTGAGCAGATAAGGGAGACACTTTGTTAATAGAAGAAGACAATTTACATTTGAAATTACTAAAAAAAAACAAAAAAACATTGCAGTCTTTTATTTCAACTGAATAATATCTAAGTATCTTATTTTAAGGGTAAAAATGCTCATTCCATTGTCAGATCATCTTATTTTCCTACTAAAATTAATAATAATAATAATGAATTTTATTTGTAACGCACTCTACATTTGACTTCAAATCTCAAAGTGCTACAAAGTGCTACATTTAAGAAAAGGGAAACTTAAAGCAAGTTTAAAAGACCATAACATTAAAAACAGAGTAAAAAGACAATCATTAAAATATATACATTCAAAGGCATGCGTAGCCTAAAAATCTAAATCAACAATTGTAGGCATTTCTAAAAAGGAAAGTTTTCAGTCCTTTCCTAAAACAATCCACCGTCTGTGGGGCCCTAAGGTGGTCTGGGAGGGAATTACACAGACGGGGCCTGACCGGGTCCGGGAAGAGGTGTGTGGTGTGAGCAGTTCAGTGAGATACGTGGGGGCCGCACCGTGCACACAGTGATGGGTGTGCAGAAGAATCTTGTACTCTATACGGGCGTGAATAGATAGCCAGTGTAAAGTGTGAAGGATGGGAGTGATGTGCTGGTGTTTCCTCAACCTCATCAGGACCCTGGCAGCGCTGTTCTGTACGTACTGGAGCTTCTGAAGGCTCCTGTCAGAGATCCCGATGAGGAGAGCGTTGCAGTAATCCAAAAATTAAGGGTAAATACACTTAAAAAAAAAAATTTTGTACTCATTTTCAGAATGTTTTGCAGAAAAATGGTTAAAGTTCCACCTGTCTGTGTTTATATTAAGCTTCGGGTCTTTGAACAGCACTTGAATGTTCTTGTGGGAAAAGCAGCGCAACAATGGGGACTGCTAAAAATGATACAAATTTTTAAAGATGCTGTATAACTTGCAAACTAGCTTTAATGATACTGTTAAGGGGATTCAAATGGCTGAAGCTTTCAGGTCTTAGGAAAGTTCCAGGGATCTTTGATCCAGAACTGCCTGGTATTCTTTGAGATATACTGTAAGAGATCATTTGGCTACTCGACCTCTGAAAGCAAATAGTATTGGTGCTGACCTCTTTTTAAAGATCAAATGCTGTGTTTAAATGGTTTAAATTACAATTTAAATTATGGCTTTTTTCCATTGCACCATATTTCAATTAGGTGAAAATATTATAAACCAATAATTTCTGATATAAAATGCTAGTATCATAGATTTTAACTTTTATTGTGAAGTACAAAGCAACGAAAATCACCCTGCATTTAACCCATCCCCTAGGGGGAGAAGTGGGCTGCTATTGTGCGGCGCCTGGGGAACAGTATGGGGTTAAGGGTCTTTTTTCAGGGACACAGAGTGGCAGTCTGTGGTAGTGGGACTTGAAGTCAGAACCCCTGGATACCAAGTGCAATGCCCTAACCACTAGGCCACCAGTAATATGTAGTCTGAGTACTGATTTTTTTAGTTTTTTAGTTTTGACACATATGCCCTTCTGAACCATCAGTTACCAGGCTGACAATATTCCTTCAATCACAGAGGAGAAACAAAAAGAACACTAACATCTCAGGAAATCACTTCAAGCATGGTCGAACAAAAACCCAAACAAAACAACAACGACCCGGGAGAACGACGGGTGGCTCATTGATTTGCATCCTACTTGGAATGTGCATAAGGGGTTTGGACTCCAGATGCTAGAAAAACATCACTGCTCCAACTGTAGGTTCTATAGTGCGAGCATTGATATCAGCCTTGATAAAATTATGATAGTCAGTATGAGCTTGCTTTTGGTGAGTTTTGTTTGTGATTTTTTTAATAGGTTTAGATCTGCTTGGAGATGTTCTTATTGGATACACTGTGAACTAACATGTCCCTTTGGTTGCATTATCTTCTGTCTTTTCCAGAGGTGCAATTATTTTTGTCCAGGCCTGTTTCATGTGTTTATTTCTTTAAAATAATTCTGTTGGACCCTAGTTCAAAAGCAATGCATGACTTCCATTTGTAAATTTTCATAGAATTTTTATTTATTATTACTTTTGTTAGTTTTGAGTTATATCTGTGACGTTGGTTCAAATTCATTAAACTAGGGTACTTACAACCATTTCGTGCTGCTCCCGAGGGATCTGATCCTTTCTCTCTGGTTAGATCTTTATATTAAAAATACTTAAATCACTGTAATGGTATGATAGACAACCTTTGTAGTTTTGAAACTAACTTGTTTATTCCATGATATACCATGAAACTGGTAACCTGCCAATGCCATTCTCATTTTCCACCAACAGGAACCAACAAAGTCTTATTTCCATGTAGAACAGTTGAGCAATAGCCTTTATTATACAATATAATTTTAAGCAGCTTATTTATTTCCCCCTTTGAGTACATTTGCCCAATATTTTCCTCAGTGATGTACAAACCATTTAGCATTTGGAGGATTACTTCATTGTGCTTTATTATGAATAAGGGCTTTATACTTCTGTTCAAACGTGACTCACTGAACTGCATTCTGTGAAACATCCTTTCCTCTTATATTAACTGTGTGTGTTGTTTTTAATTGCACCTATGTTATGTTTTTGTGTTTATATTTGGATAAGGGGTGTGAAATCACTGCTGTGAAGTCACTTTTTGTTGTTTCATCACTTCAGATTATTCCCTACTCATTTTTAGCTGTCAGCTTTTTGAGGTCAGAGCACACATTGATAAATGATTAAAAATCTGAACATTGTCTTTCATTCTAATTCCAGTTAAAATAAGTACTCATATTATATTGGAGTTTGTTCTTTTTGTACTTTGAATGTTATTAATTTTTAATAAATAGCATAATTAGCTGCAGTTCTCAGTATATTTAACAAACATTCAGAAGTTTTCTTGATTCAGAAAACTAAAAATTTTGGGGTGGGCAGAAAGGTATGATATTTATTCCATATATATATGGAAATGTATTTCCTGATAACGCTTGCTCCTTTTACCAGAATCTTTTTCTACCGCACAGTTTAAATTGCTGCACTTCATGGAATGAAAATAATTTCACTGCTAAGCTGCTTCCTTTTTACTGCCTGAAAGCTGCACGAAATGAAATTTTGTTTCCAACAAAATGATAATAAAAGTTGTCTAAGTCTAAGAATATAACATAATGCCTGTTATTGAAAGTAGCTCAAGCTTTTGGAAAGAGGGCGGTTTTGTGATCGAGAGCCTAATGTAGAAATGAAGCGTTCAACCAAACTAACTTAATGTCATAAAATGGGGACAGATGGACCCAGTATTCAAGGTGGGACAGTCAATAGGAAAGTTCACGAAATTTATTGATATAAAAACATAAACAAATTGAAACTAAAGTGGAGCTGCTAGGATCTGCGACTCTCGGATGCTGCACCACCCAATCTCAGACACTCTGGATCTACGATCATCTGACAAAAGATGATGATCTCAGTGAGTCACTTACCTGGTTCAACAGTCCAGTCCATATCCCTGGAAAGGGGCAGAATCCAGCTGCTGGCTGCAGGCACTGAGGGTTTCCCCGGTGCAGCAGTCCCAGATGACTTGCAGGAAGCCGATCCTGGACAGGGATATAGAACAGGCAGGATCCAGGCTTCCAGGCATCTTAGATCTCCCAGGCAGGTTCAGAGTCCAGAAACGGGCAGGCTCAGTGGATGAGGGTAGCCGAGACAGGATGTGGAACCAGAACTTGAGCAGGACTTTTAAACTGTTCTCCACCTTGGAGCCAAACTTACGGGACTTACAGGACTCAGCAGGGGAGGAACAGTGGACAATTAGGAGACGAGACAGACACAAAACCCTCCTTCCACTGGCCGCCAGGATCCAGGACATGAACCTTAGAACAAACAGCGCTGAACAGACTGAACAGAAAACAACATCTAAAGATCTGGCCATGATAGCTGGAACTGAGCCCAATATAAGGGCAACTGGCAGGTGGATGAGATGTGTGATAATTAGGAGCTGGAAAGAGTAAAGCAGGTGAAAGGCATGAGTAATTAAGGCCAGCTACCACAGCAGATCATGACACTTAATTCATGTGACAAATGTGAAAAATCTATGTGAAATAAAAAACAAAGCTTTGCTTTCTAATGTTTTGGTCAGGGCGCCGCCATGTTGGAGTAACTCAAAGGGTGAGGTCACGGGGTTGATTAACACTAAAACTAAGAATTGAATATATTAGATATACCGGCGATAGAACACAACCATAAAACATTTAAAACATTTGGTTTGAAAAGTGAAGGTCACTTAAGCGTCTAAATCCCTTTGCTTATGCTTTTGAGCCCATTCACTGTGTGATTCGAGCTGTAGGAAGGAGAGAAGAGGCAGTTTAGGAGCCATGGTTCTGACTATCCCTGCTAACTGACAGAACACCTTAGCCACCAGCAAGCACAGCAGGTCCAAACCTCCAAAGAAATGGTATGTTTCTTACCATAATTCCCAGATTCCACGACAGGCAATCAGGTTATCCTGAGGTCCCAGCTCTCCTTCACCATCCTATGGGCTTTAGTCCTTAAATTTTAGTTTAACCTATTTGGTCTATGCTGGTGAGGATTCACAGTCATCCAGGTCATAGTTATTCAAAAAAAGTGGAAAAAAAAAACAATCCACTGGACTTTCTTTCCAAGTTTGAAGATGTTTCGCTTCCCATCCAGGAAGCTTTTTCAATTCAGAATGTCAGGAATAGGGTTGAGTTCGAGGCTATATACAGTACCCCAACAAGCCCTTGTTTTTGTTTAGAAAACATGCAAATTGAAATGGATGAACAGGTCCAACCCACAACTCCTATTCCAAGGGGTGGACAAAAATCAAAGTATCCTTGAAACAAGCACTGAACTGGTCTGTCTGTTTGCAACTTGACTACCAATCTGTCTTCTTGGACAGTACCAATAGGTTCTATCATGACTCCTCTTCTAATCAGATCTGTTTTCTTGCAGCTTCAGCCACCATGGAGGACTTTCAAATACGTCCACACAGCCTGTTTGTCCATTCGTACAGAGCACCTACTTTCTGCGACCACTGTGGGGAGATGCTGTGGGGGCTTGTAAGGCAGGGGCTCAAGTGTGAAGGTAGGAAGGTTTTTGACTCAAAAGCTGTGTATTGTGTATATATAATTTTTTTTTTTTTTTTAAATATATATATTTTTTATTATTTTTTAGGATGTGGTCTCAATTATCACAAGCGCTGTGCGTTTAAAATTCCCAACAACTGCAGCGGAGTAAGAAGACGTCGCCTTTCAAATGTTTCCCTGACAGGAGGAATAATTAATGTGGGCCGCCCACTTTCTGCTGAACCTTCGCCTCCCAACTGCATGGATGATGCTTTACTGGTCAGTGCTCATATAAAGAACACAGAAAATAAGAAACATGTCAAAAACCCTTTATAAAGCCATAACTCAGTATTTTCTATTGTTTATTTTCTTTATGATACAGTCCCCTGTAAGTCCCAATGTTGAGGTAAGTGCCTCAAAATAAAATGTTCATAATTTTTCAATTATCTTTTGTGAACATGTTTAAATGAGTATGCTTTGCACTAATTTAGTGCACTAATGTACTAGTGCACTAACGTAGTGATAGTTTTTTTTTAGTAATCATTATCTTTTTTATAATTGTCATGTCATTAATAGTGTTCATGGCTCTTCCAATTTGCGACAGAAAAACCAGCTAGATTATTACCCTGGCAGGGAGCGACGAGCTAGCACACAGTCATACATTGGACGCCCTATTGAGTTGGACAAAATCTTACTGTCAAAAGTCAAGGTTCCCCACACGTTCCTAATTCACTCATACACCAGACCCACTGTGTGCCAACACTGCAAGAAGCTGCTGAAAGGCCTCTTCAGGCAGGGACTCCAATGCAAAGGTATGTGCAGTAATGATAATAATAATTGAGTAATAATAATTGAAATAATTGAAAACAACTTGTGAAGATGGACCAGCTAGAAGAGCGAATTGCGCAAGAACATTGAGACCCTTTTTTCCACCTGGATCCCAGCTCTTTTTGGCCCTAATGTCCCTACGTTGTCGCACAAACTTACCCCCCCCCCCACTGCCTCGGCCGTATCTAGACCCACAGCTAGTTCCTGATTGGCCCTCTGGTGTTGTGGCGTGGAATAACACAGCGCAGACCACTCTTCAATATTGGGCATAAATCAAAAATATTTGTGACAAGCACACTGCGACACACTTTATTCGCCCTTTATTCTTCTATCTCTTTCCCACTGTCTGAAAAACCCATTTAAACCCGGGAACAATTGGCTTTTAGTAGCAGTGGGAACAGCTCACTGACGCCTCACTACTCAGGTCAAACTACTTGGCAAACGACCTGCGTTAAAATCACCTTAGCTCTGATTGGCATACAGAGCCGGGTTGACCCACTAAGTTGAATTATACCATTGAGCGCAGATGCGCCAGTCGCCTCTGATCTAACAAGCAGAAATAACTCTGTTTACATTCATTAAACATGGAGCAGCTCTGGTGAGAGGGATTCAGAAAGATAAAACAGGAGAAACAATAAAGCACACAGACTACACTCCAGCTTTCCTTTATGTTGCTCTCCATTGGTTACGTTCATGATTTCTGTTGCACTGGTGACATCATCAACGCTAACAAAGTGTGATGGTGTCACCAGACACGCAGCGCGCCAGCGAGGGTTTAGGCCCAGCTTTTTTGCCAGTGGGGAGGGAGCCTAATACAGATTTTTACAGGGTCAACCCATGTTTTAAAAACAGGTGTAAACCCAGTATTTTCATTGGAAAGATGCTTAATTCTCAAAATGGTAAATAACCTGTAGTTGTATAACTCTTTTTTAAGTCAGAAGACTTGACTAAAGTGCTTTACACTACATTCAGCCATTCACCCATACACTTAAACACTGATGGTGGGTAGCCCCAGCTACATAAGCAAGGCTGCCGTACACTGGCGTAACCGGGCCCTCTGACCACCATCTGAACCTACAACCAGGAGTTTGCAGGACAAACTCCTGCACTCGACGCCATGCCAACCAATAGCAGTTCTCATATTTCCAAAATGAATCACAATGAAACCATGGTTTTCCTCTCCTCACTTTGACCTTTTCTTGTCTTGTGTCCTTCTAAGACTGTAAATTTAATTGCCACAAACGATGTGCTCTGAAAGTGCCAAACAACTGCCTCGGAGAGATTACCAGAAATGAAGGCAAGTCTGAACACACAAACTCTTTCCCTTGTTACTTAAACCATAAATAACCGTAGAGGCCAAGCTTAAGCCCTGTCACAGCCTAAACTTGAGATGCACGATACATGTCCAAGTAAAATATTGGTATCTGATCACATTATTTATTTTGTAACATATGATGTTTATTTCTGTCTTGTTTCCATTTCTGTCTGCTTGATGAAGGGGCAGGGGAGGGTAGGGGACGTTGATGTGTTTTTTAGTTATACTGTAGATGCATTGAGAGGGATGCAGTGGTGGATTTGGGGGCTGTTTCGCCTAAACAGAGATTCAAGCCATGTGGTCATTTTATACAGTGTTGATAGGATATTAAAGTATAAAGTATATGATCTTATGAAGATAACCAAAGTAGATGTATACCTGAAATTAGTACCAGATATACTCAACTCCAAGTGGACATACTCAGAGTTTATTAAAGTCACTCACAACATCTTTTAAGAAACAGAAAACTCAGAGTTTCCAACCTTAGGCTAGATCTATTCATAGTTAAGCATTTGAGTCTGAGTTTGTTAAACCTGCTTTGTGAAACAGACCTCAGTTTCACCGTTTAAGCTCTCTAGTTTGTTATTGTGTATTGAAAAAGTTCTGTGTGGTTGTCTCACATTTTCACGGCAGGTTGAAGCACACCTCCATGCCACATTTATTTCTATACATGCCAAGTTTCATGTTAAACATTGGCCAACATATTTACAGTAGCAGCCATTCAAAATGGTCTTTCCCAGTCAAACGCCACCCAAATGGCAGCCCACTTCCCTCAGACTCCCAGCGAAATCCCCTCCAACTTCCAGCCAGTGCAGTGACCCCCTCTGGCATATTTTTTTACTCTGACTCCACCATTTCACTGAATTACAAGGTCTGACCAGGAGGTGACGCTTCTCTTGAGAACTTAATGTCTACAAATCATGACAAAAATAATATTTTAGTACAAAGATTGACGTTTAAAAAGGAATTGTTGGGGACAAAAATGGGAAAATTTTGAATGGCTATGCACAGAAAACACTTCTTGCATGAGGCCCCTGAAATTTAATTAAACAATCAAACACTGTCCAAATAAATGGACCAATTGTAATATTATATAGATTCCATCTCATTTCAGATTATGTCTAAATAGGGTGTTGGTTACAAATGAAATTCCCATTTTTACCCTGGTCCTTACAGTAGTAGCCATTCACAATTTCTCCACTTTCCTTGATGGGCCATTGGTTGGTCCCCATTCAATTCCCTTTTTAAACATCAATATTTGTACTGAAATATTCTTTCTGTCATGATTGGTGCACATTAAGATCTAAAGAGAAGGTTAATCTCCTAGTCAGACCCTGTAATTTAGTGAAAGGGTGGAGTCGCAGTATAAAAAATAAGCAAAAGGGGGTCCCTCCAGTACCTGGAAGTTGGAGGGGAATTTGCTAGGAGTTGGAGGGAAGTCGGCTGCCATTCTGCTGCCATTTGACTGGTAAGGGCCATTTTGAATGGCTGCTACTGTATTTCAATAGATAAAAAAAATACAAATCAGTAGTTATTGACATTGAGATGAAAGGTTATATCGTGATACGTTTTCAGCCATATTGGACAGACCTTATTTAAGTACGTTGTTAAATTGTTGTATTACAGAGCTTCTAAGCCCTGGAGCAGAGTCAGATGTTGTGATGGTGGAGGGCTGTCTTGATGACCCAAGTGTTGACCGACGTGGTAGCCTCCTCGATGACATAGATGACACATTGACGACAGAGGGGGGTTTAATGCTGGACACTGGATACGGTGACCTCAGTGACCAGCGTGACACTGACTTGGATGACTCCAACCGTGCCATCAGGTAAACACCCCTACTTCACCCACATCCTTACCTACAGGACCAGTCTCTGAGACTATGCTTTGTCTGCTTCCCTGCAGTCCGTCCACCAGTAACAACATCCCACTGATGCGAGTTGTTCAGTCTGTCAAACACACCAAGAGGAAGAACAGCAATGTGATGAAGGAAGGCTGGATGGTTCACTATACCAGCAAGGATACTCTTGTATTAACTTTAATTTAGCACCAATACTATTCTGTTGCTTTAAAGATTGTGGACTTTCTTACTCCTCAGTTATTTGCAGTTTTCTTTTATTTTCTGCCAGTATATAATTTTTTTCTTACTTAACACAAAACAGTTCTCAGTTGTTGAAGGTTATACCTGCACCCCTACTGTGTTGCTAATGTCTGTTTTCCTCCTCTCTGATTGTTTTTCAGAGAAAAAGGCATTACTGGCGGCTGGACAGTAAATGCATCACCCTTTTCCAAAACGAAACAGGAAGCAAATACTACAAGGTGAGCTACTTCAATAGCTTTTTAAGCTATTCATTTAAGCTGGGCATACACTGTAAGATTTTTTTCAATCGTTGCACACAGCTACAGCTCAGGCTATACGATGCAACCGCAGGGTTTAAAAGTTCATAGCTCTTGTATGTTTTTACTCTGTGCGGCCCAACGCTCTGATGCGATCTACCTGCTCACACTGCACGTATAAAAACCACTTCCGAATCAGCTTTGCAGTGAAATGGCGCAACTCGGACTTGTCTATCCGGAAGCCAAACGAGTAGAAAAGGATTATGAAGCTCACTAGAGTGAAACGCGCTGCTTTGGCAATTGTTCAATTTTGTGCTGAAAGCCCTAAAAAGAAAAGGTGACGACATATTTGGACAAAGACATGGCTGAGAAAAGGTGGCTACTACGGTTTTACAGAATGAACTCAATTTCACTCACACCTCCCTCATGCTTCTGTGTTTTCGTTGGCTACCATGTCAGAGGATGCAGAGAGCAGATCCAGCCAGTCACAGTCAGAGAAATAGGACTACTGAAAAAAAGGCAGATTTCCATCATCTTTAATGATCAAGGACGCAGGTCTCATTCTATTCCTACAGATGATAACTGTATATTCCGGCAGAGGAACCAAAAACTTTTATGTCCGAAAACCCATTCATGTCTGTTCATGCCCAGGCCAGAGATGGCAAAAGTACTCACTTTCCATACTTGAGTAAAAGTACAGATACTTGTGTTAAAAATACTCTGGTAAAAGTGGAAGTACTGATTAAACTTCTTTACTCAAGTAAAAGTAACAAAGTACAGGCTTGTAAATTTACTTAAAGTATAAAAGTAAAAGTAGAAACCACTTTTTTCATGCCGTTGCCTACATTTTAAATGGATGTCTGCCAATAGGACTAGATCTCCGTTGTGTTCATTTTCAATCATCTCGTCGTCCATACTACTATGCTAACGCCATCGCCACCAAGCTGCAATTATTTGCCGCGAATTAATACCGCAGAATCTGTTGATTCATCTTGTAGTGGTGCGTCAAATGCAACGTAGATTCCCATCCAATTAGATTGAATTTGGTATTGATGACGTGAAAAATAATAACGGTAACTCCATTGAAATAATTCAAAAGTAAAGTAACGAGCCAATTTTTTTTAATGTAAGGAGTAGAAAGTACAGATATTTGTGTAAAAATGTAAGGAGTAGAAGTAAAAAGTCGCCATAAAAATAAGTAGTAAAGTAAAGTAAAAATATCAGGAAAATCTACTTGAGTACAGTAACGAAGTATTTGTACTTAGTTACTTCCCATCTCTGGACCAGGCTATCAAAATGGAAGGAGAAATCCCTAAGCACTGTTTCTCTCAACTTCATAGAATCATGAAATAAACAATCAATAGTCCCCCTGAAGATGTAGCATTAATCATCGATCAAAAGTAATCACATTAAAAACTTTACAGACCAAATTTTGTCACTCAAGACCTCAGTTTTAACATTTAACTACAATTTGGGTTTCATTTTATTAAATGAAGACTATGGGCACATTATTTTAATTTACCTTAGACTTGGTAACCCAAGCCTATAATTCTAATTAAGTCAAATTCATCTACTCTCATTCTTACATAGACACCTCCTAAGTGTGACTGCTCATCATTGATAAATTCATTCAAATTTATCAATCGTATATTCCTAATACAGTGTGGAATAATTAAAAAACAAAGTCAAATTTATAATACACACTGTAGTAAACTCTATCAATAAAACAATCTTGTGGTAGAGAAACGTTTGTTGGGAATACCTTTCCGCTGTACAAAGACCCAAAGAGAACGGCTTAAACAACAGTCATGTGTTCAGCAGAGAAACATTTAAATGTGTTATAGGTAAAAGTTTACACCTTATTCAGAATTAGAATCAGTGGTTAGAATCGAAGATCGCTGTTCTACGGGCAAAAGAACATCCCACATGAAGGCGCTGGTGCAGTTTTGCTTTGAGGAATTCGCAAAAATCCCAGTGGCAAGATATGGAAAGCATAAATAGACTTAGAACTGGCATTTCCTGTATAAATAAATACTTTTATTACTTTGATTGCAATAAAGTAAAATGCTTTAATTGCCTTACAACTAAAAAGAATACATCTTTTCAAAGATGGAGGCATGTTGTTTAAATGAAAAAATGGTGATTGGGGATGAATTCTTCTGTAGGCCATGGTATATTGTGTGAATTCATATTCTTTTCTTCCTATTTTATTGGGCTGTGCAAAACCTAACCCTTATTTTCCATTGCCTTTAAGCCATAATCATCATGATGATCAGATATCAAACACTAAAAAATCTGTCCAACAATATGAAGAACATGCTTTAAGGATAATCTCAATAAAAATATAATTAACCTAACTTAAAAATGTTCAAGTTTTTAGATAGAATTGTACTCACTTATTGCAAGGTTCAGTTCCACAAAAGCTAAAAAATACCGCAACACACAAGTCCTTTATTTCTGTGTAGTTGCAAAAAAAGAAAAAAAAATCAAATGCAAAAAAATCAAAACTGTGAATTGAGTATTTTATTAAGTACTTACACTTTTCACTGCATGAAAAGTGGGATTTTCGTCAATATGCGGCACTGTAGATTGTCGTGGAACTTCAGGTTAGCGGCAGTTTACGACAATTTGCAGGCTTCGCCGAAAACTCCCGTAAATTGTCAGAAATTGACGTGGACTCTCTTAGGCAGTGTTCCCCCCATGCCTCCCCCCCATGGAATTCTAGGGGAGGCTTTAACATGTAAATGAACATGCTGTGAGCTATACAAACGCAAATCAGGGTTGCAGGGGGGGTTTTACACCAAGTGACATTTTTCTGAAAGGTAAGAATACAAAGAGATCAGGCTCAGTATAGCCTCTTACATTTTAGCTTGAATTGATCTATTTAATTAAAGTATAGAGACCAAAACAGATCTTTAGCTGACAGAGCAATACATTTAGAGCAGTAATTATAAAAAAAAAATAGCATTTAAGATAAAAAATAAAATGTTGTCTGTCAATATGCTCAATTCACAATTACTTAAGTGGAAAAGTTTCAAGAAATGAGTCTGAGATGATTCACTTTATAACATGGCGCATTATCCTGTTGGAAGTAGCCATCAGAAGATTGGTACACTGTGGTCATAAGGTCCGGCCAGGTCAAGATCCGCAATTGCAATCGCACCAAACAGGAAAAAGAACATCGACAAATTCCGGTTCGTCAAATTAAAATATAGCAGCAACAGATCGGTGACTAGAAATTATAGCACAATTCTTATATATATATAAAAAAAAAAAAAACTAACACCGTTTATCTAAATGATTGGATCCAAACTATTGGTTATTCACCAACGAGGAAGCAGATTTCTCGTCTCCATCAAAATATTTATTTTATACCGAGGTTCTTAAACTTTAATCAAATCCATTCAAAAGAAACTTCTTATTACAGGAATGAAAAGAGATGCTGAGTTTGGAAGTAGTGAACAAGTTCATTAAAAAAAAAAGCAGTTATCCTTATCCCCGTTACAAAAATCTACAAAAATATATATATATATATTTGGGCAGAAACTGAACATATGCTGGATGATGGTGGGATTTTTTTAATATGTCATATTAAATTAAGCGCTCACAGGGTTCATACAGGAATGAGTGACTCTAATTTAATGCTATTTGAAATGATTTTAATGCCATCAACAAGAACCATGTACACAAGTTATTAGTGTACATGAAATATGAAGGAGCTGTAAGCAGAGTTCCATGACTCCTGTATGTATGTAAACACACACACACACATATATATATATATATATCCTCTAGCTTTTTCTCCGCCTGGAGCAATATAATATATCTGACAAAATTGTTTTTATAAGCATTTTTTATTAAAGAATTATAAATACTTCGATAAACATATTTAAATAATTTTAGTGCCAATTAAGGCCTTGATTTAAAAAAAATTAATGATTTTTTAATTATTTTTATTGATCCGCGGAAACTCTGGTTCATCTCGCGCATGCTCTGTACGATCTCCAAGAAACTCAGAGCGGCGCGGCTGGATCCACAGCGGAGGATAGATGCTTTGCTTTGTGCAGGCGGTCTGGAGCGGAGAATGGGGGATTTCGGGGTAAAACTCCTCTTGGACGGGATGGCGACTCTGCATCGAACAAGACGAACTCAAAGAAGAGATGCTAGCGGTAAATATATGTTCGATTACTGCCTGCTAAGCTAAAAGCAGCCTAGCCTAAGCTACGGCTAATAGCAGCCTAGCTATTAGCCTATCTAGCCTAGCCTTGCAAGAACAAGCTTTATTAAAGTGTATTTTTTGTGATTCACAGGAAGCAGTACGCCGTCTTCACAACTCGGAGACTAATTGCAGGCGCTATGAACCGGAGCAAGGGTAAGATTTAAAGAATATGCTTTCATTCTGCGGTAAAAGGCAATGGATACGGATGGATACCGATCATAGCTTTACATTTTGTTTTCACAGGCCTCCTATTTGCTCGGAGCCATACAGCAAGTCCAGATTTGCACGATGTTGATAAAGACGACATTGTGTGTAAGTGACTTGTTTTAATGTTTTCTCCTTCCTTGTTACTGTGACTTGCGTTTGATTTTTTATTTATACCACTCTCATTTAATTGTTTTCCAGCTGCCTGTAAGACGTATTTTCAGACGGTACGCAGGAGCTTCAGATATACGCAGCCAGCCAACACGCTGCGTGCGGAGGCAATCTGCTCGGAGTCGGGCCAGAAGAAAGAGGGTAAGACTTTATTTGGTGACTATTTTTCAGGTGCATTGATAGATGTGTTGTGTCCATACGCAGTGCGCTGATTCATTGTTTTTTTTTTCCAGCTGCTGAAAGCGAGGCAGAGTGTGCTAGCAGATGAGGAAGTGGAACTCTGGAAGTCCGCCTTCCTCGGCGGTGTCTCTGGATGGATTGTGCGGTCGCCGCCATTTCGTAGGCCGGATCTCACTGAACTCTGTGTTAAGCTGCAGTCCCGGTTAGAAGCGATGCTGAAGTACAGGGCCACGCACAGTAGGCGTCTGCACATCGGACCTGCCTCGGAGGGAATGCTGCCAGTTACCTCCAACCCGAGGAAGCAAACGGACCGTTCACGGACTTTTAATTTTTAGAAACGCATGTGTTTGGATACGCGTTGTATATAGTTGTGTGTGTTTCAATAAAGCTCTTTCTTTGCATAAACAGCTTCCTGGCAAATGTTCATTTCCTGTATAAATTCATTCATGTCCTTGATGGTAGCATAATAATTGTGTAGTAGTGTAGGATAACATAAATACACATCATATGAATGAATAAATATATGAATGAATATATATATATATATATGAATAAATATATATATGTAAATTTATATGTAAATATATATATATATGCCAACCAATCACGAGCGACTTTACTTGTTTAAAAAGAAGTGGTTCCGTCCAATACTCAGTAAGAAAATTAAAGCCTGGCGTGGCCACGTGTGGTTTTGCTGCCAATCACGAGCGATTTCATTTGTTTGATAATAGTGGTTTCAGCCAATACTGAGAAGGTTATTCAAGCCAGACCTGGCCAGCCACGCGGGTTTGCTGTATTCATATGCTAATTAGGGCCATTAGTACAGCTGATCGCTCCCCACATACGTCATGGTACGTTTCCGACAATTTGTGGCACGACAAACGCGGACAAGCACGGGTTGCAAATTCTCGGAAACTGACGAAAATCAGGCAGATCTGCGGGAGTTTACGGGGGTTTACGGGGACGAAAATCTCACTTTTCATGCAGTGTTTCTGGCTTCTGCTTTGTCCATTTTTATGTAATACCTCAACATGTTCTTTATAATTTGAAAGCAGACCCTCCCTCAGCAGAAAGGTAAAATAGCTTGATATTTTTTTCTGCAGTGGTTCCCATGGTGAATCAAGGTGTCAAGGCTTTAAGGCTTTGTATAGCTTTTAAGCTCACTCTTAACTTAAAAATACTTAGACTTTTTAAACATTATTGTTATAAGTCATTTGATAACGAAATACAGAGTTTGAGTAAGTGGATTTAGATTAATAAGCTGTTAATTACAGCGGCTCCTTCTGAAATAGCCCCCACACCTGAGTTCAAATTCCAGAAGGTCGTACTTTACACCACCAAAAACTTTTTAGTTTTTCAGACTTTGCTGCTTTTGCTTCTTACACGTAATCTGTTTTCAGGAGATTCCTCTGTCAGAGATCCTGGCTCTGGAGCCAGCTCAGAACTTCTCCCTGCTTCCTGATGGAGCCAACGCTCACTGCTTCGAAATCACGATGGCATCCTTGGTTTACTATGTTGGAGAAAATCTGTTGAGAAGCGAATTGTCCATGACAGGCAGTACTATTCTGGTGAGAGAGATTTTTATATCACAATAATAATAATAATAATAATTTAAGAGAGAGTAAATAAGTGGGTCTAAGTGGGAGTTGCATATATCATAGTAGACTGTTTAAACAATACCAACACCCTTTTTAAACTGATCTGTCAGACTCTTCAGATTTCATTGTTAGCACGTCATATTTTTGCCCCCAATTCCAGCACACTTGGCAGAGTAAGATATTGTTTACAGTTGGCTTTATTATCTGCAAGTAAATCCCCTAGCTCTTTGGGGGATTATTCTATATGCTTTTTGGTATAGAATTGGCTACACAAAGTGTCATGAAGCGAGGACAGAAGGACCCAGTATTCAAGGAGAGACAGTCAGTAGGAAAGCTCAAAACGTTTATTAAATAAACAAACAAAACAAAAGCGGAGCTGTGGCTCGCAGACACTGCAAGCGGGGGGGCGGGACACCGCCCAATCTCAGACACTCTAGGGGAGAAACACAGGTAAGTGACCACGATCATCTGACTGAAGATGATGTTCTCAGTGAGTCACTTACCTGGTTTAGCAGTTCAGTCCATACCCCTTGAGGGGTGCAATCCAGCCGATGGGCTGACAGCTCGACGCAGCTCGCGTCAACCAGAGTGTCCCCAGTGCTGCAGCTCCGGAGGAGTTGGGGGAAGCCGATCCTGATCAGAGATGCAGATCAGGCAGGAACAGAACAGGTAGCAGGATCCAGGCTTCCAGGCTTTAACAGAGCTTCGGGACAGGAGGGTTCAGAGTCTGACTGGGACCAGAAGCATGACCAGGTGGTCACCCACAGGAGCAGACAGGATCAGGTGCAGACAGGCAGGCTCAGTGGAAGAGAGTAGCCGAGACAGGACGTGGAACCGGAACTTGAAGCAGGACTTTAAACTGGTCTCCTCCCTGGAGCCAGGCTTACTGGATAAAAACTGAACCTCCCCACATATTGAGCCAAAAACCCAGAGGACTCCGCGGGGGAGGAACAGTGGACAATCAGGAGATGAGACAAACACAAAAACCCTCTTTCCACTGGCTGCCAGGATCCAGAACATGAACCAAGGAACAAAACTAACAGACAGGCTAACAGAAAGACAAGTAATGATCTGGCACTGAATGCTCAGGCTGAACTGAATATAAACCAGAGGAAACAGGTGAGAGGAATAAATGATAATTGAGGCAGGGAGGGAAAAAAGACAGGTGAAAGGAATGACTAATTAAGGGAGAGCAAACAGGCCAGATCATGACACAAAGAATGGTGTTGTGTTTTTGGCACCAATTCCCTGAGGAGGACGTTCACTGTTGTCCATAATGTTGTTCACTTTGTGAAGAATTATTTAGTTTTGGCTAAAATACCAAATTTGCATTTCCAGGTCAGTGGAGTGGGGCAGGATGTGGCTCGGATGTGGGAAATGGCCATCCAGCATGCTCTTATGCCAGCTGTCTCAACAGGAATCTGTCACAATTCCCATCGAAGCGGGCACAGTAAGTCGTTGATAAATGTTATTCTGCATGGATTTATTGGTAAATAACGAGCCACTATTGGTGTAAAAACTCCCCCCCCCCAAAAAAAAAAAAAAATTGTTAAACTGAAATCCAATTCTTATCTACATTTCTTTGATTATGTTTATATAGAACTGTATATAAAACACACTCCAGTCATAAGACTAAGCCAATAAAACAAAGTGAGAAAGTGAATTTGATCTTATTGCCCCTCAGTGAATTGAAAGATTACCAAATGCTTTTCATTTACAGACCATCATCGAGTGTAAGTACATCCACATGTGGTGTGCTGTTTTGGAGGAGTGGATATCTGGATTAGGGCTGCAACAAAGAATCGATAAAATCGATAAAAATCGACTTTTAAAAGCGTTGGCAACGAATTTCATCATCGATTAGTTCTGTCACGCGATTAATGCGTCATCCGTCGCCGCCGTCATCACATCCACTTGACTGAAACGGGGGAAGAAAAAAAAATACGGCAGAGCGAGCCAGCGCCGCAGGTGCAGTGTTGCCAACTCCAGCGACTATTTTTCAAAAAAGCGACAAGCGACAAATCTGGCAACTTTTTACGGTGTCACTAGCGGCTTTTGGAGACTCTTACGTGAAAGCATGTATCGTTTCTACTCTGCCGTGGGGCGCCCCCCCATCCCAACCCCGTTCTCCCGCTCCCGCAGGAGTCCCTCTCAGCGCTGCAGTCAGAGCCGCAGGATGTTTACCCTCAGCGTCCAGACTGCAAATGAAGCGCGCATGCGCCGGGATTGACGGCGCAAATTGATCACAATAATTAAAATAGCCTGCGCTTTGTACAGTGAAAAAAGTCATTACATGCAACTTTTGTAAAAACAAATTAACATGGCACGGAACCACCATGTTTGTTTGGTTTTAAAGTGGGGAAACGTAACGTTAGTTTCTCAGGTAGCTCATCTGATGCTTTCCTTGCCTTGTTAGTAGGTTACAGACAGTGATAAGGTTGGCTACTTATTTTACTTTTAATTTCATTTGAATTAGCTTAAGCAGCGTTTACATTTACTTTATAAATAAATTAACTTGCAAATTATGAGGGCAAGGCTTTTAAAGTTTAAATCTTCTGGCAAAGATAAAGTAAAGAAGATCCTGCAATTCATGGAAGTAGCAGAATAAAATCCAGCAAGATCAGTAATATGTCAATTAATTATATGCCACATTCCCATGTAAATATCTGTCTTTGGAGGATGTGTTTTTAGCACCCCTAGTTCTCTCATTTTTATTCCAAATACAATTTATAATTAGAATCACAGGGCTATTTTTATCTCTATGGTTAAGTATTTTCTCAAGTAGCAACTTTAACTGCTATACTTTCCTGTCTTAAAAGGCAGAACTCTTCTAGTCTAAAAAAAACTCATTTGTTGAAATGGGGGACCAATTGTTTGAACCCCTTAGGGGCTTTTAAAAACAAAAATGTCTTTTTTTTGCACTTTATGAAACAAAGTACCCTATGTTTTGTGGATGTACAGCTACATTTCTCATGTAAGTTTGCGTAGTTTTAAAACAAACATTTATTTTTCATATTGCACCAGTACAGTTAATGAGCAACCTGTACTTGTGTGCTTGTTTGTTCTGTCTAAAATGTTTATTTTGGAATAAAGAGGTTAATATATAAAATATTTTTTGTCCGATTCATCGATTAATCGAAAAAATAATCGGCCGATTTATCGATTTTTAAAATAATCGTTAGTTGCAGCCCTAATCTGGATAAAATCCTGCAGGGAATTTAAGTACTTTCCCAGAAAAGCTGTTTTTGTTTCACAAATGTTTAAGCCTAATAATCAATTTGTGAAAATGCACATATCCCGAAAAGGATCCCGCTGTGCAACACTTACAGTAGCAGCCATTCAAAATGGCCATTCCTAGTCAAACGCCAGCTGAATGGTAGCCCAATTCCATTCAACTCCCCACGAAATCCCCTCCAAATTGCAGCCCATGGAGTGACCACCTCTCGCATATGTTTTTCCTCCACCCTCCACCCTTTCACTGAATTACAGGGTCTGACCAGGAGAAGGAAATTCTCTTTAGATCTTAATGTCCTCAAATCATGACAGAAAGAATAGTTTGGTACAAATATTGATGTTTAAAAAGGAATTTTAGGGAACCAGCCAATAAACAGCCAAGGACCAATCAAGGAAATTGGGGAAATTTTAAATGGCTACTACTGTACTTAAACATATACATATTGACAAGTAAACCACTAAATTTGCCTATGAAAAATACTGCAAGATGCCACCAAAATGGTCGGTACCAAGAGACAATATGGGGATGGGGTAAATGTGGTGATGAGTGGCGTGAGTTCAGCAGATATGTGATTATTAGCAAAAGTAAAAGTGGTCATTTCTTGACTTATATAGTATAAACAGAAAATAGAGGGGCAGTCAGTTACACCTCAGATGGATCTTTTAAGTTGGACAACTCCATAATTCATAACTCGAGTTTGAGGAAGCTTATGGTTCATTTTGAACCATTGGCTCAAGGTGCAGACCCAGCAGCTGAATGGCCTCCGATTATCAGCCATCTTCCCTCCAAATTTGTTGATTGCACTCAACTTGCATTATAATATTAGCTTCACTGTATGTGGTTGATTTACATTTTAGTTTTACTTTTGACGGGAATTCAACTTTTATTCCAACTTGGAGGACCTTTTATGTTCTGTTAAGGTTTTACTATAAAGACAAAACCGAAATTACAATTTGATGCACGAGAAAATACGATTCAACCAATTTTCATCTGATTGCATTGAGTAGCAGCCATTAAAAATGTCCCTTCCCAGTCAAATGGCAGCTGAATGGCTGCAAACTTCCAGTCACTGGAGTGACTTTTTTTTTTACATATTTATTTCACTCTTTCACTGAATTAAAGGGTCTGACCAGACGATGACGCTTCTCTTCAGATCTTGATTTCCACAAATCATGACAGAAAGAATATTTTAGTACAAAGACCAGTCAAGGGCCCATCTAGGAAAGTGGGGAAAATTTTAATGGCTTCTACTGTAAGTTAGCACTGATGGCTTCAGACCTTTTGTTTGGAAAGAAATTACACAAATGTAATTCATGTTTGCATGGTAAAAGACTCTTGACACATTTCCTGCTTGGTTATAACTGTTTCTGTTCAAGCTGAATCCCACTGCAGGGTCTTAGCTCTCGTTAGACTGACAATGCCCACTCAAAGCCCATCAGAGATATTTCAGGCTTCAGTGACGTCAAACTGATCATGACTAATGCTTCCAAAGAACCATACTGTGGTTGCTTGTCTGAATAAAGTAACCACTGTCTTCAGGTTTTCAAATGTTTGAACCAAATGTAAATACTGAATTAACATCAGATTCCTGATTAAGAACATGAGAAAGAACAGGAGGTATTTAAGTATTTCAACTGACAGAGATTTTATGTGCTTACGTTTTCCTCCCATTTTAAATCCTACAAATTGTTTAGGGTGAAAGTGATTGGTTGTTACAAAAAGTACTTGTGAGTGTAAAAATGTTGTGTTGCTATTTTTTCTGTCTGATCATCTTTTTTTTCTGATCAACAGAGGAAATATCAATCAGTATTTCTGTCTCCAACTGCCAGATCCAGGAGAATGTGGTAAGAAAACATGTTATGTTCAGTCAGGTGTAATATCTGGGGTAACATGATCTGAATGACAGTCTGTGCCACTAGTGTAGAATCTACTGGTGAAAGTTATGACAGTAATATTGTCTTTTTGTGTTGTTTTTTTCTACATTGCTGTTCTTATGACATCTAATCTATGTAGTTATTCTATGTTAATGTTAGGGAATAACTGACTTGATATGAGAAATCTCAGTTTCCTTTCTCATGGAGGTAAATATGTTTTGTTTGTCAATCTATCCCCCCGAGCCCTGAGGTCAATAGTCTATTGATTCGAACATATATATGAATACACCAGAGTACTGAAGCATTGTCTGCTGTTGTTGTATAGACTAGGTAGCAGAGCCGCTGAGCTCCTCTTCACCCAGCTTACAGCTACAGAGAACAACCATGTGTCATGCTGCACGCCCCCACATTTCGTTCTAGGAACTACTCGGCATATCAGCTGGATGTTTAAAATGCCCCCAGCAGTTTGTAGCTGGACACCGCTTTCTAAAAACGGAGCTTTGTTCAGATGTGTCAGACAGACGTCTGCTTTGTGTCTGATTTAAGCCTGGCATAATACATATTACCACAACAATTGATGAACAACTATTAGAAAGAGCTTTCAGAAAGCCTTTAACGTGACTTTTCTAAAGTTACTGTTTAGTTTCTATTCTTTTAATGATAATGGGAGAAATGCAGTAACTCAGGTGCATTGCTGCTCCAGAGGTTAGTTGTCTCTTTAACTTTTCATTTTTCGAATTGGAACACACAACTGTGGCTGGTGCACTGTTAAAAACCAATCACTGCTTCATAAATGTATCCACAATGACCAGCATATATATTCTCAGCCAGCTGCAAGGACTCCCCCCCTCACAAACACCAGAAAAGGCTCTAACATAAATGTGTAGACACACACGTGCACACACACGTATGCATACAAGGGTTTGCAAGGTTATGGTGCTTTCTGTTTAAATCAATTATGCTTTTTTGCTTTCCCTGACACTTTTCAGATGTTTGCATATCCAGATTTTGGGATTGTGTCAGTTTGTGTAGGTTTGATGTATGTGATATGGATATATATACTGTAAAGATTCCCACAAAGCTTAAGGCTGCCAAGAACATCTTGTCATGTTTCCATGCAGACATACACCCTGCCATCTCCAAGGTGAGCAAGTATCAAGCACGTTAAATGGAGATTACTGTGATTACTCACTCAGCTACATGGTTTCCATAGAGATGATGGTAATTAGACCACAAACTATGAGGAGGAGGAAGAGGTTTATAATATTGTATTCCTGTCCTCTTTGCCTGAGGTGTGATAATAGGCTTTCTATGAACATGGGATAAAAATGAGAATCATTATGAAGATAGCAAGTAGGAAATATTTTCTAGTTTCAGACTCAAAGCTGTTATTGATCTCTGATAGTCTGTTGTAATACTGTGGGAGGCACACTGCTGGCTTTCAGCACCAACCCGATCTTAAATTCCTTCCTGATTTTATCCAACTATCTTTATTTTAATCACTTTTCTTTATTTGTTAACATCTATGCATGTCTACAGCGGTAAGAGACTTAGACCCCAATCATTCTCCCAACAGTTGGCCCAAAGTAAAACAAAGTTGTATCTATCCCTAAACAACCTTACGGAAGCCGAGAGCGGTTAATCTGGACTTTAATCTGGGGTTAATTCAATTCAATTCAATTCAGTTTATTTATATAGCGCCAAATTCACAACACATGTCATCTCAAGGCACTTTACAGTTCAACCAGATCAAATTGATACAAAGTTTTCTATCTAAGGAAAACCAGTTGATTGCATTGACTCATTGACTCAAATACAATCCCCCACACTAAGCATGCTTGTAGCGACAGTGGAGAGGAAAAACTCCCTTTTAACAGGAACAAACCTCCAGCAGAACCAGGCTCAGTGTGAGCGGCCATCTGCCGAGGCCGACTGGGGTTCAAGGAGACAGAAGCAGAGATACAAAAAGCAGCTGTAAAAGGCGGCCCCGTCCAGGAAACACACAGCCAGGCAGACGAGCTCCAAGGCAGCTCCCATGCCAGAGGACGAAGAAAGCACATCCACTCAGTCACGGTCAGAGAAACAGGACCACACTGGAAAACAGGCCGATCTCCAACATCTATAAACAAGGGTGTTGATAGAAGCAGCACAGCTGATGTTTCTTTCCAGGATGACGTCACAGCCAAACAGGAACAGACGAGGCAAAGCTACTCTGAGGAAAAGCAGAGAGAGCAGAAGGTTAGAGATTGAACTAACAGATTCTGCAGAATAGGAGAACAGAGAGAGAATGAAGCAGAATGATGAAATGGGGGTCCCTATGTCCTCCAAAAGTCTAAGCCTATAGCAGCATAACTATAGAGATAGCTCAGGAATGCATCTTATAGGTGCAACCCCGGGGCTGTTCAGAAAACACCCGGTGCTAAGGTGGCAGGGGCATAGGTCTAACTGCTTATGAATCAGAATTGGAAGCAAAACATCAAACCAATAATGTTGTCTCGTTACCTAATAATTAAACACAGGATTATTTACAGGTTAACACATAGGCTGCCATGACTTATACTTATAAATCCTCTCCCACTATTGTGGTATTGCAGGATGTAATCAGTTTTAACACACGACAATCATCTCGTTATGAGGAGAAAATGGCTAACGTTATATTCAGATAATGAGAAAATTAACTTGTTTTCTCAAGAAAACCACCGTGAAAAAGTATCGGAGAGACACGGTCGCTCTTGGTTTCTGTACAACCCAGTATACAAGTGACTTTTTTTATCAGTTAAGCGGCGAAACAAGGCCACAGTGTAGTTAATTGCTACTTTGACAAACATTGACATAAAAAGCCATTACTGATGATTCAGATCAGAACAAAACTCTTGGAGTGTGTAATTATTTCCAAAATAAAATACAGGTGAAAATGGACAAAAGATAAATGCAGAGAGCTGCATAGCTAAAACAAAAATAAGACCAAGGTTTAGTGTTTATTGACTTGAAGAGAATACGAAATAAATGTGAGTTATATTAAACCATCAGTATATATATATATATATATATATATATATATATATATATATATGTATAGCATTAAATATATGTATAGCATTAAATCATACAACTACCATTCCATATGAAACCAGACATAAACTTGAAGATAGCAGTACAAAGATTAGAAAAAAAATGTTTTTGTTCTTTTTTACTCTATTTGTGTCATGTTTTTGGGGTTCTCTGAGTTTCTTGTTTTCTTTTTAGCGTTAGTTTACACTCTCTGATTATTGTAGGCTTTAGAAATTTTTCATTTTACTTGTAGAGCTCATCCATTTACTTGAAGTCTTTTATATTAAGTTGGAGGTCCTTGCTTTGAATATTTTAACCATGTAAAGACCACTTGCAGTCAGTCCTTTTTGATGGATCTTTCAGTTTTATGCAGTTTCTTAAAGGTACATACACCAACATCAATAGAAAGTTATTTTATTGCTTTATATTAATATATTTTTAATTATGTGTTAGGGCTGGGTGATATAGAAAAAAAGCTTATCGATAAAAAAGTGCATATTGATCGATATCGATAATTATTGAAAAGATTTGAAACCATATTTTATGTGCAGCTCTGCCTGGACTTTTTATAATATTGCTAAATTATTTAATTTTAATAAAAAACAAAAACACAGACTTCGAATGAAATCTTTATTTAACCAACTTTTTTAACCATAACAGAATTGTTTTAAAGAAAAATAACTTAAGAGACCTGGGTTATGTTATTAAATACTGACAAAGAATAAACTAAAGTGACCAGAAAAGTGACCAAAATAAATATAACAAATAAATAAATGCCCCCCCACCGCCGCCGCCGCCCCCGTTTCCTGCTTTAACCTGAGTTATTACTTTGAAGTTTCTGGCCCCTCAGCATTTTTATCTCAGTTGTTAGAACTACGTGGGAAACTGCCCAGAACTGAATATATATATAAAATATTTTCCCGAAATTCCCGAAGATTCCTCGGAGGAGAGTCGCGGCGGGGCCTACACAGCTAGTACTCCAGCGGGTGTGAGCGGCTGAGATGATAAAAAAAAAAAAAAAGTTGATTGTGTTACCAGACTTCGTTTACACTGGTCTCCTACACATTTTCCAGATGACTGTGGTTTGTTTTTTGTCCGACTTGCCATGACCGAAATACTGCCAGACTGCCGAACTACAAAAACCCTTCTTTGGAACAATTTCCTCCGCCTCTCCTTGCTGCGACATCTTCATGTGCTCTGTGTTGTGGTTTGAGAGGGCGGTGCTTTGTGACGGCGTGCCTGGGTGCGCGATTGTGATTGGTTGGGAGGAAGTAGTGACTAGCATAAACCTACATGCTAGGCTTCAATGAGAAGGAAGGAAAACTGCGTTTCTTTTTTATCGAACTTTTATCGACTCTCTTTTTTTCTATTGCGCCACACGTCTATCGATCGATATATATCGTTATTGAATTATCGCCCAGCCCTATTATGTGTTCTGTATGGTACTAATCCTATTTTGTTTTCTTGATCTCTAGGACATCAATTCGATTTATCAGATTTTTCCAGATGAGGTTCTTGGCTCTGGACAGTTTGGTATTGTGTATGGAGGTAAGATTCTGGTGTTATCAGACCCCCAGCAATATATAAGTGATATATATGCCTATTTATTGATTTTTTTTTCTACTGCAACTAATGCAAGCTAAAAGGGACAATGTGTTAAGCCGGGCATACACTGTTGATATTTTCAATCGTTGAGCGCAGCTACAGCTCACACTGTAAGACAAAACCCTGCGATTTTGTCTTACAGTGTGAATACACAGCTCACAATTTATGTTCTCACTCTGTGCGGCCCGACGCTCTGATGCAATCTACCCGCTCACACTGTAAGTCTATAAACCATGTAGGACTCACCTCCGCAGTGAGATGGCTACTTGGACTCGTCTATCCGGAAGCCAAACGAGTAGAAGCGGAATAAGAGGCTCACTACAGTGAAACGCGCTGCCTTGGCAATTTATGCTATTTTGTGCTGAAAGCCCTATAAAGAAAAGATGATGACGTATTTGGACAAAGACATGGCTAAGCAAACATGGCTATTACACTCTGTCAATTTTACAGAAAGAACTCCTTTTCACTCGCTGCCTTGCCTGTGTTTTTCATCACAGAAGAAGAATAAGAATCCTTGTTTGCGCACTGAGCGATTTGCCCACGACCACCTTACGACAGCGGCAAGGGTGTAACCTTGCAAAAAAAGTTGGTGGGGACAGTCTAAGGGTGGAGGCTGATGGACCTACAGCTACTCAACTTCAGATAGCTACTCCCTTATTAGGACAGCACAAACAGGCTCTAACCAGGGTAGAAAAAGAAGTGGGAAGCCGCGTTGCACAACTGAGCAAGAAGATAAGTACATTAGAGTCTCTAGTTTGAGAAACAGACGCCTCACAGGTCCCCAACTGGCGTCTTCATTAAATATTATCCACAAAACACCAGTGTCTACATCTACAGTGAAGAGGGATTCTGGGCTTCAGGGTAGAGTGACAAAGAAAAAGCCATATCTGAGACTGGCCAATAAAAGAAAAGGATTAAAATGGGCAAAAGAACACATACATAGGACAGAGGAAGACTGGAAAAAAATGTTGTGGACGGATGAATCCAAGTTTGAGGTGTTTGGATGACAAAGAAGAACGTTTGTGAGACGCAGAACAAATGAAAAGATGCTGGAAGAATGCCTGACGCCATCTGTTAAGCATGGTGGAGGTAATGCGATGGTCTGGGGTTGCTTTGGTGCTGCTAAGGTGGGAGATTTGTACAGGGTAAAAGTGATTCTGAATAAGGAAGGCTATCACTCCATTTTGCAACGCCATGCCATACCCAGTGGACAGCGCTTGATTGGAGCAAATTTCATCCTATAACAGGACAATGACCCTAAACACACCTCCGAATTGCGCAAGAACTATTTAGAGCAGAAGCAGGCAGCTGGTATTCTATCGGCAATGGAGTGGCCAGCGCAGTCACCAGATCTGAACCCCATTGAGCTGTTCTGGGAGCAGCTTGACCGTATGGGACGCAAGAAGTGCCAATCCAACTTTTGGGAGCTGCTTCTGGAAGCGTGGGGTGCAATTTCTCCAGAATACCTCAACAAATTAACAGCTAGAATGCCAAAGGTTTGCATCGCTGTAATTGCTGCAAATGGAGGCTTCTTTGATTAAAGCAAAGTTTGATGTAAAAAAAAATCCTTTTTCAAATACAAACCATTATTTCTAATCTTGTCAATGTCTTGACTCTATTTTCTATTCATTTCACAACGTATGGTGGTACATAAGTGTGACTTTTCAGGAAAACAAAAAAAACGGTAGTATAACGGTAGTATATATATACATATATATATATATATATATATATATATATATATATATATATATATATATATATATATATATATATATATATATATATATATATATATATATATATATATATATATATATATATAGTCAATAGATATATATGGGCCTCTATTGCTCTGGTGCTCAAGGCCTGCTCCTGTGCTGCCATGATTATTGCTTTTGTGCTGTCTTTCAACTCTGCCCTGTTTAGCCATTGGTAGAATTCAGCTATATCAGCCACTTCAACTATCTGTCGTTGGTACATCATGTGCTGGGGATTTTCCACCCATGATGGTTCCTCCACTTCCTTCCTTCCTAGCTTCTATTGTCATTCACAGCACTTCATCCATTGGGGCCATCTCCCTGATGTATTCTTGGAGCCTGGATGTTTCATTTTCAATGGTGGCTCTGATGCTTACTAGGCCTGCACCACCTTTTTTGCGCATAGTGTATAGTCTGTAAATAACAGATTTAGGGTGGAATCCACCATGCATGTTGTGTAGCTTTTGTGTTTTAGTGCTATGTTTAGATCGCATGGGCTAGAGGCAGCAGAAGCAGCTAGTTTACATGCAAAGTCAATGGTTGACACGCATCAAGGAAAGCAAAAGGTCTTGCAGTGTGTTTTGAGCAGCAGGATTGGAGCATCATGAGCTTCTGAGCTCTTGGGCGTGTGAGGTGGAGTTGGTAAAAGTGAACTTTTGCACCACAACAACCAATCAGAGAAGCTGATCTGGGAGCTGGCAGGGAGACAGACACAGCACTGCTGATGCAGAGCCCTATGATCACTCCTCTGAAACAGTTTAACGCCTAAATTAACTTAAAATATCGAAACCTGTGGGCAAAATATGTCCGATTTTATTATTCTGGTGCCTGCAGTTTGGATGACGTACATGAAAAACAGACAGAGACAGAGCACCATCGGTGTGTGGGGGTCTGAGCGGCTCCGACAGCAAAATAATTTTTGAAGGCAGGATAGTAATCTGATTTAACTGACTGCATAGATGAAGTTTTCAGGTCGACTTTCGCACTTAAAAACATATTAAAACTACTTTCTATCCACTGATCACAGGAAATATAGTAAAGCTGCTCTCTGTTATTGAACACAGGGGCAGAAGAAGCATCAGGAGCATCTGGGCACTTTACTGGACATGCTGCTCCGGACACTTAATGCGAACAAGCATCAAAAATGAAGAAGTAGAAGCTTTTTTGCTGCTTTCAACACTTGCGGTCTGAACATACAACAACATCAGTGGCCTGGATTCCCTCCCTAGGCCAACTTATTATCCTCAGGGAGTAACTGATGACTAGCAGGGCATATTTGTTGACTGGCTTGACCTTGTTCTTACCATATGTATGCTGCTATAGGCTTAGACTGCTGAATGACAAAGTAATCACTTTCCATCACTCTGCTTCATTCTATCCATATTCTCCCATTCTGCATTACTTGTTTGTCAACCCCAAAGCTTCATCTGGTCTACTCCTCTTTGGCTGTGATCCTGGAGAAAGATCATGCTAGCCTGCTGCACTGGACACCATTGTATATAGATGTTGGAATTGTCAAAGGGGGGGGGTGAGGTTGCATGAGGACCCAAATGCGCAAACAAAGAGAACCACCAGAAGACCCCACCTTCTAACATTGCCAACACTGTATGTGATGTAATCAGTTCCGTTTTTGCTAAGCTACAAACAAAAAAGCCAAAGGGATTTGTGCCAATAACTGGTGATTTTAATAACGCCTCACTCTCTGCCATACTCTCAAACTTCCAACAGTTTGTCAGCTGCTGCACCAGAGAAAACTAATATGGACTTGTTTAATGCAAATTTCAAGAACTCCTACATCTTGAAACTAAGATTACAATCAGATCACAATCTTTTTTTCTTTATTTGCTCACAGTGGGAGCCACTTTATAAGAGACAAACCGCATTATAAGACCTGTAACAAGATTGTCACAGGAAGCTTAGGAAGCCCTGCAAAGTCGTGTTGAGCCACATGAAGAGGACATCAATGCAATGACTGAGTGTGTGACTGAGTAGATACGTATTCGTAGATACCACCATCTTTACCAGAACAGTGAAATGCTGCTGGAAAAAAAAAGGCAAAAAAAAAAACCCTGAATGTTTGTCTTTTTTGTTTTAGGATCAATGCGTAACCCAGACATTTACCCTAAGCATTACCAGCATATTCCTAACATTAATCTATAGTTAACTAACACCATAGCTTTAAACTGTCTCCCTAATATAATAAATGGAGCCCCACCACATTAGCAACAAAAGCAGTCCTAAATAGGTGACATAGCGGAGTACACACAAGTTTTTATGTCTATCCATACGAAGACTTTACATGAAGTTTCAATTTATGCCAAACCCTGACATTTAACCTAATCATAACCATTACCAGTATATTTAACAGAATTATTTCCTCACCCAATTAAATTATTGGAATAAATTGTTCCGATCATATCTAAGACCACAGATGTATGAAATCAAGAACCTAGGCATGCAGACTATTTTTTGCAGTTGTTTGTGAAAGAACGGGTAGCCCTCTGAAGCTCAATGTGTTCCCTGCTTTATGCTACATTGGTCAAAGTTGTAGCCACTAAAATTAAACATGACACACTTCCTGAAATACTAGCCAACTTAATTATTTTTTAGATAAATTTGAAGTGTTCCAATTGTTTTTAATGGTTAATTTATTTATTTATTTTAACAGTTGTTGGTACATTCCTTGCAGGTAAACATCGGAAGTCTGGTCGAGATGTTGCCATCAAGATAATTGATAAACTTCGCTTCCCTACTAAGCAGGAAAGCCAGCTACGTAACGAAGTGGCCATTTTACAGGTAAGCTCACAAATAAGAGACATTTCAGTTTATTTATATAGCACCATTTCACAACACATGTCATCTTAAGGCACTTTACAGAGACATTTTAACCAGATCATTGTCAGATCGGTTCAATGTTTTCTACGGAACACCAGCTGGTTGCATCGACTTATGTACTTGAAAGCAACCCCTCACACCAAGCATGCTTGTAGTGACATGGAGAGGAAAAACTCCCGCTTAAGAGCAACAAAACCATCAGCAAAACCAGACTCAGTGTAAGTGGCCATCTGCTGAGGCCGTCTGGAGTTCAAGGAGACAGAAGCAGACATACAGAAAGAAGCAAAGATACAAAAGACAACTGTCAACCAGCTCCACAGGCAGCACCATCCAGGAAACAAACAGTCCGGCAGACGAGCTCCGACCCAGTTCCAAAGTCAGAGGACGAAAGAGAGCACATACAACTAGTCGCAGAAAAGCTGGGCATACACTGTATGATTTTTGCCCTTTTCAGGTCGATTCTCCAGTCATGCGAGAATGCTAAGATCGGGCCAACTTTCAGCCTGATCCTGCGATGTGTGTCGTGCAGTGTACAGGGGATAACGAGGGGTGATCAGCCTCTCACGACTACCTCCCGATCGGGAATCTTAAGGTTGGGAGAAAACCAAAGATGCTTGAAATTCAGTCGGCACACGTAAGTTCGCATCAGAGCGTCGGTCGCACAGTGTGAGCACATGCATCGTGAGCTGTGAACTTTTAAACCCTGCAGTTTCGCCGTATAGTTTGAGCTGTAGCTGTCTGCAATGATTGAAAATATTGCACAGTGTATGCCTGGCTTAAGAGAACCAGGATTACACTGAAAAACAGGCCAAGCTCCAAAATCTATAAACAACGGTGGTGATGGCAACAGCATAGTAGATATTTCTGTCCAGAATGGAGTCACAGCCAAAAAGGAACAGACCAGATGAAGCTACTATGATGAGAAAAAGCTGAGAGAAAGAAGGAAATTCTGAGAACCTCTTTGATATGAGATTTAAATGATACGTCCTGATAAAAAATAACACAGAAATTTTTTTTTATTAATATCTGGGATCAATTTAATCCCATCCAAATGAAGTGCCTGACTTATCAACTTCTTTACTCCACTTTTTTCTGCATTCAGGAGCAGACAGTTTAGAGTAGTCCATATAGAGACATGTATTCTATGTAATGGGTTAGTTTCATCTGTGATTTATAAACAGATATAGCTGTGTATCATCAGCATAACTATATATATATATATATAAAAAAAAAAACTAAAAAAAAAACTGTTTTCTCACCCCTCATGGGGTGGTATGTGTCATCCTCAAGCTCGTGTCCTCTACCAGAGGCCTGGGAGTTTGAGGGTTCTGCGCAGTATCTTAGCTGTTCCTAGGACTGCGCTCTTCTGGACAGAGACCTCTGATGTTTTATCTGGAATCTGCTGTAGCCACTCTCCCAGTTTGGGGGTCACAGCCCCCAGTGCTCCAATTACCACTGGCACCACTGCAGCTCTTACTTTCCACATCTTTTCTAGCTCCTCCTTCAGCCCTTGGTATTTCTCAAGCTTCTCGTGTTCTTTCTTCTTGATGTTGCTGTCGCTTGGGATTGCCACATCTATCACTACTGCCTTCTTCTGCTGTTTGTCGATCAACACGATGTCTGGTTGGTTAGCCGTCACCTGTTTTTCAGTCTGGATCTTGAAGTCGCATAGGATCTTAGCTCGGTCATTCTCAACTACCCTAGGAGGTGTCTTCCATTTTGCCCTTGGGACTTCCAGCCCGTACTCATGGCAGATGTTCCTGTACACTATGACAGGTTGTGGCGTTCCATGTATGCACTTCCTGCCTGCATTTTACACCCTGCTGTTATGTGCTGTATTGTTTCAGAGGCATCTTTGCACAGTCTGCATCGGGGGTCCTGCCTGGTGTGGTAGACCCCGGCCTCTATTGATCTTGTACTGAGTGCCTGTTCTTGTGCTGCCATGATTAGTGCCTCTGTGCTGTCCTTCAGTCCAGCCTTTTCCAGCCACTGGTAGGATTTTTTGATATCAGCCACTTCTTCTATTTGTCTGTGGTATACGCCGTGCAGCGGCTTGTCCCTCCATGATGGCTCTCCTTCCTCTTTCTTGTCCTCACTTTCGGTTTTCTCCTGCCTGAGGTATTCACCAAGCCATTTGTCTTTGGGGGCCATCTTTCTGATGTACTCCTGGGTCTTAGTTGTTTCATCCTGGACAGTGGTCTTGACACTCACTAGCCCTCGGCCTCCCTCGCTACGCTTGGTATACAGTCTCAGAGGTGCTGGATTTGGGGTGGAACCCTCCATGCATTGTGAGGAGCTTTCTCGTCTTGTTGTCAGTAGCCTCTATCTCCTCCTTTGGCCAGTTTATTATACCAGCGGGGTATCTGATGACTGGCAGGGCATATGTGTTGATGGCTTGGATCTTGTTTTTCCCATTCAGCTGACTTTTCAGGACCTGCCTTACTCTTTGTAGGTATTTAGCTGTGGCAGTCTTTCTTGCCATCTCCTCGTGGTTTCCGTTAGCCTGTGGCACCCCAAGGTATTTGTAGCTGTCCTGCACATCTGTAATGTGGCCTTCTGGTAGTTCAACCCCCTCGGTTCTGATCATCTTCCCTCTCTTTGAGACCATGCGATCGCACTTGTCCAGTCCGAATGACATCCCAATGTCGTTGCTGTAGATCCTGGTAGTGTGGATCAGTGAGTCGATGTCTCGCTCACTCCTGGCATACAGCTTGATGTCATCCATGTAGAGGAGGTGACTGATGATTGTTCCGCTTCGGAATTGGTATCCGTAGCCAGTCTTTGTGATGATCTGGCTGAGGGGGTTCAGGCCTATGCAGAACCTATATATATATATATATATATATATATATATATATATATATATATATATATATATACACACACTATATATATATATATATATATATATATATATATACACACACTATATATATATATATATATATATATATATATATATATATATATATACACTCCTACTCCTCAAAAAAATCAAAGGCACACTTTGTAATCAGAGTACAGCATCAAGTTAATTAAACTTCTTGTGATGATCCTGGCACTGGAGCTGACTCTGGTTCAGTCTCCACCCCCATTGCAATCATCTCTACTGGTTTCACCTGTCTCCACCTGCATATAAGCTCCGTCCTCATGAGTCTCCAGTGCCAGATCGTTTCAAGCCAATTCCGGTGAGAACCTTCCAGCCTTGTTTTTGAAAACCTGCCTGCCTGTCTGCCTGCCTGCCTGTTTTTGATCCTGTTATGTCCTCTGATTTTTGAGCCTGCCTGTCCCTTTCTTGGATTTGTCTTCCTGCCTGAGACCAGCTCCGTCTGTCTCTGGATTCCGGAATGATTACCCGTACCTAAGACCCATGTCTATCTGAAAGTTAATGAGCCTGTCTGCCCCCTCTACGTCCTGTGATACTGGAGATCATATCTGGATCAGAAACTGAACAAACCCGCTGAAATCCCTTTTGCTTATCTGAATCTACAACTGGACATACTACCTGTTCCTGTCTGGTCCTCAGAGCCCGAACCTCCTGTGAAATCAGGTCATATCAGTCAGCACATGGGAACCGTAACGTCCGAGATTCGGCGTTTCAATCACCTGTTTTTTCAATAAACTTGTTAAATTGTCATGTTGTGGTGAATCTTGGGTCCGCATCCGGTTCATTACACTTCTGGGATATTGATATGGTCAGGTAAGTAGCAGAGGGGGTTGTTAATCACTTTCAGCTGCTTTGGTGTTAATGAAATTGACAACAGGTGCACTGAAGGGGCAACTATATATATACATATATATACATATATATATATATATATATATATATATATATATACATATATATATATAAATATATATATATATATATATATATATATATATATATATATATATATATATATATATATATATATATATATATATATATATATATATATATATATATATATATTTGTGGAAAGGCCATGACATAAGTGATGGGAAACGGCCTGATAAAATTAAGTGCCAGTTTCCTACTATCTATCCTAAGGGGAAGGTCTTTGGTAGAAAGCCATACTCTCTGGCCCTCCCGGTAAACGGGTGCCGGAATTCTCTGATGGTTATCAGCTTTAGCTTGGCTAACCAAAGATTTTGAAGTGACCTTTCTAGCCCTTCTCTATACCTAAGAGCAGATAAACGGGTCAATGGAACCTTGGAATCTTTCTCTTGAATGGAGGACATTGGTGGCTGAAAACCAAATACAACAAAAAAGGGAGATGGCCCAGTGATGCTAGAGGGGGCAGAATTTATGGCATGTTTACCCCGAGGAAGTTGACTGGCCAACTTATTGGGATCAGACTCACACAGGATGTTTATCTTAGTCTTGATTTGCTGGTTGGCCCTCTCTGTCTGACGTCCGTTTTGGGATGTCAGATGGACAGAGATACCCAACAGAGAGCAGAATTTACTCCAGAACTGAGAAACAAACCGAGGACCCTGTCAGTAACAAAGTCTGTCTGGAGACATTGAAGGTGAAACAAGTAAGGATCTCCACCATTTCTTTCACAGAAGGGAGTTTGGGCAGCATAAAAAAATGAATCATCTTGGAGAATCTGTCAATGATGGTGAGTATAACGGTGTTACCTCAGAACACGGTGACTCTGCAATGAAGTCAATGGCTATATTAGACCATGGTCGAGTTGGGATGGATAAAAGTTGAAGAAAACCAAATGGAGACCTCTTAGATGTTTTGGACTGATCGCAAAGGGGACAGGCTGTCACAAATTCTGTACTTTGAAAACAGTGACAGCCACCAAAACTGAGCTTGAACAATGCTAATGGTTTTGGACACACCAGGATGAGAAAACAAAGAGGAACTGAACGAACTCTAAAACCTTCCTTCTCAGGGACAAACATATTGTCATTAGGGCAATCACTTGGGGAAAGCTGATTACAGTGAGCCTGCATGACTACTTTCTCAATGTCGACTATATTGATGGAACATCTTACAGACTCTAGTAACACATACTCCTCTGCGAGACCGGAACACTCCTGATCTACCTCAAACAGCCTGGACAGAGTATAGGGCTTAACATTCCTGGTCCTGGGTCTGTAAGACAGAGAAAAATTAAAGCGTCCGAAAAAAAGGTGCCCACCTCTCTTGTCTGGGATTAAGTCTCTTAGCAGACTTCAGATACTCGAGGTTCTTGTGATCAGTCCAAACCAAAAAAGGAGTCTTGGACCCCTCTAACCAGTGTCTCCATTCAAGAGACAACTAGACCGCCAGCAATTCTCGGTCTCCGACATCTTAGCTCCTTTCTGCACTTGAAAGTCTCTTTAAAAAGAAAGCACATGGGTGAATTTTCCCGTCCCTAGCCTCCTGACTGAGAACCACCCCGACCCCCTGGATGCCTCTACCTCAACAATAAATTGTTTCTCAGGATCGGGAGAAAGGTGAACAGAGTCTTTGGAAGGCTCAATCCGCCTGATCATTCCAACAAAATTTTAGCTTAGCAGAAATAAGGGCATAAATGAGCACAGCTACCTGACAGTAGTTTCTGATTCATCTCCTGTAGAAATTAGCAAACCCTAGGAACCTCTGCAGTTGTTTCCTATCCTTAGGACCCGGCCAGTCGGTAACTACACGCACCTTCGTATGGTCCATAGAGATCTGATCAGGAGAAACCACAAAACCCAATAATTCCTGCCATTTTATTCCAATTTTAATCTTGCTGAACGTACACAGGAACATAAACAGGAAGTAGCCCAGCCCAAAACCTCCACTTTCTGCCGATCAGTGTGTGGGTTATGCTTATTTAACCAAGTTAAGCCTAAAATAACAGGAACCTGAAGTGAATCAATGATTAGAAAGGATAACTGTTCAACATGGTTATCATCCACCACAAGCTCAACCGTTTTAGTCATGAGAGAGGATCTATTCAACTGATGACAATCCAAGGCTAAAACCTTGTGAGAGTCCAGTGAAGGAAAAGGCTTAGTGCCATGTTGTCTGGAAAAGTCCCGATCCATAAACATGGTATCGGCTCCAGAGACCATGAATACTGACAAGTTATGACTAACAGATTGGACTGATAATGTTACAGGGAGAAGAAATTCTGCTGGCTTTGCTCAGCAGGATTCTCCCTCCTCCTACTGAGCCTGTCCTTTTACTGGACACAATCTTACCCGGTGTACCTCTCCGCCTCAGTAGAGGCACAGCTTCAGCTTGAACCATTGATCCCTCTCCTCCCTGGATAGACGGGTGCATCCCAGCTGCTTAGGTCCAGGCCCGGAAGTTTGAAACAAGCCAGACGGCATCTCATTAGCCCCAGGTCGGAAGGAGCAGCTGGGTTGGGCTCTCCGCTCTCTATGCCATTCAAGGAGGTGGAGGTGGAGATCGATCCGAGTTCCTAGATCCTCAAGCTGTTTAAGTGACCGAGGGTAATCAGGGTTGGAGAGTTCATCCTTGATCCTTTCATTAAGTCCATTGACGAACACGTCCACGAGAGCTTTCTCGTTCCAGGGGCTGTCTGATGCCAGCAGATGGAAGTTGATTAGGGCTGCAACTAACGATTATTTTAAAAATCGATGAATCGGCCGATTATTTTTTCGATTAATCGACGAATCGGACAAAATTTTTTTTTTATATTAACCTCTTTATTCCAAAATAAAAATTTTAGACAGAACAAACAAGCACACAAGTACAGGTTGCTCATTAACTGTACTGGTGCAATATGAAAAATAAATGTTTGTGTAAAAACTACGCAAACTTACATGAGAAATGTAGCTGTACATCCACAAAATATAGGCTACTTTGTTTCATAAAGCGCAAAAAGAGACAGGCATTTTTGTTTTTTAAAGCCCCTAAGGGGTTCAAACAATAGGTCCCCCCATTTCAACAAATGAGTTTTTTTTAGACTAGAAGAGTTCTGCCTTTTAAGACAGGAAAGTATAGCAGTTAAATTTGCTGCTTGAGAAAATACTGAACCATAGAGATAAAAATAGCCTGTGATTCAAATTATAAATTGTATTTGGAATAAAAATGAGAGAACTAGGGGTGCTAAAAAACACATCCTCCAAAGACAGGTATTTACATGGGAATGTGGCAGATAATTAATTGACATATTACTGATCTTGCTGGATTTTGTTCTGCTTTACTTCCATAAATTGCAGGATCTTCTTTTCTTTATCTTTGCCAGAAGATTTAAACTTTAAAAGCCTTGCCCTCATAATTTGCAAGTTAATTTATTTATAAAGAAAATATAAACGCTGCTTAAACAAATTTAAATGAAATTAAAAGTAAAATAAGTAGCCAACCTTATCACTGTCTGTAACCTACTAACAAGGTAAGGAAAGCATCAGATGAGCTACCTGAGAAACTAACGTTACGTTTCCCCTCTTTAAAATGAAACAAACATGGTCGCTCACCCTGCTGATCAGCTCTCTTCACTGCCATTGAAGGCTCCAACGTGTTTTCTTTTCAGGTGCTGCATCATAACAGTGGTGCTTCCGCGCCATGTTCATTTGTTTTTACAAAAGTTGCATGTTACGACTTTTTTCACTTTACAAAGCGCAGGCTATTTTAATTATTGTGATCAATTTGCGCCGTCAATCCCGGCGCATGCGCGCTTCATTTGCAGTCTGGACGCTGAGGGTAAACTCCTCACTAAAATCCTGCGGCTCTGACTGCCGTGCTGAGAGGGATTCCTGTGGGAGAGGGAGAAAGGCGTTGGTATGGGGGAGGCGCCCCACGGCAGGCAAAAGCTGCCAGTGACACCGTAAAAAGTCGCCAGATTTGTCGCTAGTCGCTTTTTTGAAAAATAGTCGCTGGAGGGGTCTGAAAAGTCGCTGAGTTGACAACACTGCAACTGCGGCGCTGACTCGCTCCGCCATATTTTTTTTTCTTCCCCCGGATGACGGCGGCGGCGGATGACGCATTAATCGCGCGACACAACTAATCGATGATTAAATTCGTTGCCAACGCTTTTAAAAGTCGATTTTTATCGATTTTATCGATTCGTTGTTGCAGCCCTAAAGTTGATTATATACTTCGACACAGTCCGGTTTCCCTGACTTAAAGAAAGGAGTCCTCTAGAAGCCTCCCTGCTGGGGAGAACTGGGCAGAAAACTTGGATTAATTCCTGTGAAAAGGCACTGTATGAATTACACAGGCTAGGATTGTCTTGCCACTCTGATGTTCCCCATAGCTTACCCTTGCCCACTAACAGAGAGATTACATAAGCCACTTTAGCCCTACCAGAGTGAAATGCGGAGGCCTGAAGTTAAAGTGAATCTCACACTGAGTCAGTAAAGCCAGACACTGTTCAGAATCGCCCCTAAACAACTCTGGGGAAGAGAGATGCAGCTCATGACTGATTGACCTATGTAGACATGGATGCTGAAGTGAAGCGCAATTGTGGAAGCAGGAGAAGCCTGATCGCACCTGCCTGCACATCACTGTCTGTCTGCCAATGGGTCCATGTTTTGGCCAAATTATTCTGTCAGGTCTCAGAACTTTGGACCCAGAATTCAGGCAGATTCAAGTGATCTATAAAAAAGCATTTATTTACTTCTCAGGGATCTCTGATTCATCAGCTTGGACTAGATGACTGTAGAAGTAGAAACACAGCAACTGTGATGGGGAACGATAGCGAACGTGAGTTTTTAAGTTCAGTCCGAGCCAAGAGGAGGGAGTGGAATCCAGTTGGATGATTTCCCACAGCATGCGGCGGAAGCCACCCAGACAGTTGCAGGAGTAGAAGCCAAAAGCGCTCCAGAGCAGACCGATGAGTAGAAGCCAGCAGACGAGGAAGAGCAGAAGTATCCGGAAGGGGAATCTAAAGTCAATGTTAATGAGGAAGCACAAGTCCAGGCCAGAATATCAGAAATCCGAAGAGGTTCCAAAGGGAAATCCAAGCCAGCGTCAGGAGACAGAACCAAGGTCATTAGCAGGCAGAATAAAAAGGAAGTCCGAAGACAGGTAGAGCAAACAGATCAGAACATGGGCAGGCAAAACTCAGAAGTTCAGGAGCAGAAACTAGTCAGGATCAGGCAATCAGAATAAACACACTATTATTTGTATAATCCACCAAACACTATAAGTATTTGGTGGAAGGAATCGTGCTATAACTAATGTTCATGTACTGTTTACACTTCTATAGGAATACTTTTTCACAGAAAGGAGGATTTCTAAAAATGAGAAGCTAAGATATAACTTTTAACCAATCCAATGAAGCGGGTGTGATGATGACTGCATTACTTTTTTTGTGGTCCTGGTTAATAATGTTATGATATGGATTAACAGAATAATGAGGTTATTTCATAATCGTTCATCATTTATCTTCTTTATTGTCAGAGTTTGCACCACCCAGGTGTGGTAAACCTGGAGTGCATGTTTGAGACACCAGAACGAGTGTTTGTGGTGATGGAGAAGCTTCACGGAGACATGCTTGAAATGATCCTGTCAAGTGAGAAAGGTCGGTTGCCGGAAAGAATCACGAAGTTCCTAGTCACACAGGTAATAATTTTGTTACTGTAATTTTGTTACTGATATACCAAAATCAGAAGTTCTAAGCCTTTTGAACTTTGGTTAAATAAAAATGAAATAAAGTTTGATGCTTTGAGAATAATTTATCTAAGCGTACTTAGGCTACATTATGGGGCTTATAGACCAAAAGCAACCCTAAACCCACTGAGCTTTCTAACCACATGTGCCATGTAGCAACAGTATTTAGGTTTCTCTTCGGAATTAAAAAAAAAAAAAAAAAAAAAACTGTTCCTCTATGAATAATAGAGTACAGTGACATTGGTCCAAGTGTCAACGTAGCTCTAAAAATTGCAATACAGACTTCAGCTAAGTTCTTTGCATTCCCAGGTTCTGAAGGCCACATCAACGGAGTGGGAGGAAAAAAGGAAAAGTATTTGAAATACAAATATTTTGTCTCACAATACATATTTTTTTCTTTCTACGTATATGTTAATCATGTTTTGTAATTTGACCAGTTTGCTTATGAATTTACTAAGTATAACAAGAGGTTATAGATAATTTATTTACTTTCCAGTCAAGGATAAGCAATTACATGAATACTGGTTAAAAGATTATAACAGTCAACTTCCTCAACTCCAGTTGATTAATAACAGTTGGCATTTGAGTGTTATTAACTCCAAACATCCAGCCTCACAACTGTGAAGAATCTGCAGTTCAATGTTTCAGGTAGCTGTACCAGCGAAGAACCCAGACTGAGTCCAGCACAGAGCAACACAAGACTTTGTAGAATCGTAATTTTTACCAATCACAGTCACGTTGAGCGTGTATGACACAGTCAGGTTGCAGCAGCAACAGACAGGGGCAGAACAGCAGCTCGACAGCCAGGTTCAGGAATCAGAACCGCTTCAACGACGGGCAAAAATACACCTTGGTTTGAAAGGTCTGGCCAGGATGAAACCGGATGTTATTTTTTGTCAATCGATGGGCAGATTGCAGCATCCTTATTCATTAAAAGCAATGGTCGGAACCAGCAACAGGGAAGTTGGGTTTTTAGCTTAGGGCTTCTTAACAGTAGGATACAGCCACTTTTCCAGCAAAGTTGGGCTGCTTATCCTAAAAGTAGATTTGCATGGTTTCAGATTCAATGGCACAAAGTATTCTAATGGAACATTGCTTTATTTCATTTAAAACAGTGTAATTGTGAATAATAAATAATAATCTGTCTATCTGTCTATCTAAACAGTTCAAAAGCATTTAAAGTTCAATATAAAAACACAACCTTTACCAAATTCAAATATTTGCATTTAAAGAGCTGTTCCCACATATCCATATGGTAAAAGGAAAAGAACATTTGAAAAGCACGGACCAAAGAGGTTTAATTCAAATAATATTTTAATAAAGTACATCAAGTTTTTCACCTCTATATCTGGTTTGTGGTGAAAGATAGAACAGGACTTAATTAAAAATATGTCTAAAACAGAATGGGTCCTGCAGTTATTAATTCAATATGTCTTGTGAATATAATGGGGAAAAAAACTGTAATAGCTGCAAAAACTGCAAACTAAATCACTCTGAAGTACCATCAGAGTGATTTTGTTTTTAAATGTAATCCTTACGATGTCGATATAAAAGTGCTATTCTTCTTTATCGTTAGATACTAGTGGCTCTGCGTCATCTCCACTTCAAGAATATTGTCCATTGTGATCTAAAGCCGGAAAATGTGCTACTGGCTTCTGCAGACTCATTCCCTCAGGTAAACTTTGTTTGTATGTATGCGTGTATTGTGATGTAAATTATCTGCTCCATTTTTGAAGATGGGTCAAAAATTCAATCAGAATTGGTCAAATATTATTGATGGCTTTAATACTAAAGATATGGCTTATAGATTATAGTAAGTTATTACACATTACCATGGTTCAAAAAAGGGACTAGCATTTGTCAGATTGATTTTGTAAGACTGCCTTCTCTCCTCTTCCTGCTGCAGGTGAAGCTTTGTGACTTTGGATTTGCTCGAATCATTGGTGAGAAGTCATTTCGGCGCTCAGTGGTTGGCACACCAGCATACCTTGCTCCTGAAGTCCTGAGAAACAAAGGTTATAACCGTTCTTTGGATATGTGGTCAGTGGGAGTCATCATTTATGTCAGGTAGGGAATCTGAGAGATAACACATTTTTGCTTTAGGAGATCATGCTTGTGGCTTTTTGCTTTTGAAATTCCCATTTCTCATTTCTACTTTTGTGTTCAGTTTCTTAAAGAGGATATTGGAGATTGATATAATCTGACCAAGAATAGTCTTATTCTGTTATCTAACCTATGGGACTGTTTATCTTCAGTCTCAGTGGAACATTTCCTTTTAATGAAGATGAAGATATTAACGATCAGATCCAGAATGCAGCCTTCATGTACCCTCCCCATCCATGGAAGAAAGTCTCGCAGGAAGGTATGTAATCTTTAGTGGTAAGGCACAAAGCGATCATATCGCAAAACATTTTCGAAAGAGGAGTTTAAAAAAATACCTGAACACTATTAAAGGTCAGTAATACATCCTTGAAATAAGGGACTATGTTGTCTGGGGCTACCCCAAGCAGTGTAAATAGGTGGTGGGTGACAGATTAGAAAAAGAGGGATTCAGAAAGCCCTATAGCAAATAAAAAGTTGAGTCAAATGACTTCACTTGGTACAGCAGCCCTATAATGAAGAAATAATTAAGGAAAACAATGTCACCTGGTATGGTAGAACTAGGACCTTGGCCTAAAAAACCAACGTCTTAATAACGTCTGATGATTGGGGGGTAGTATTTCTCCTAGGTGGAAAGGACATAAGCTCTTTGAGAGAGGCTTTGTCCTCTTCTACTCTGGAGGGGCCCAAGGGAAGAGGCAGAAATCTGAAGTGGGTGTGCCTGTCTCTCCCCCAGTCGACTGATGTTGGAGTCCACTGCGGTGAGAGGTTGATGAGAGATGAGAGGTTGATATCCCCGTGCCTTTATGTAGGGGAGAGTGCTCTGACTCTTGTCTTGGCTTAAGTGCTGAGTGGCAGCGCAGAGTACCAGGCCTTTTTACTGTCCCTGGCAGGAGTGCTGGATAGCACCCTTCTCTAATCCTTCCTTCTACTGGGAGACTTCAATGCCTATGTGGGAAACAACAGTGATATCTGAAGAAGCATATTCAGGAGGAATGCACCCCAGACTGTGAACCTGAGAGCTGTTAGTATTGTCTTTGTTGGACTTCTGTGCAGGTCAAGGATTGTAGAATAATGAATATTATTGAATTAATATAAATAACCTTATACTATTTAAATACAAGGTTATTTATCAGTGCAGTGGGCACCAGGCCACCCTGTGCCAGAGGGTGATGATTTTGTAGATGTATCTTCTGACCTTCGCCTGCATTTCTAGTACACTCGGGTGAAAAGAAGGACAAAGCCGTCCATCAATAACCACCTGGTAGGTCCATATAGTAAAAGAGGAGGATGCTGGACAGACTTGGCAAGTCACAGGGAGTAATGAGGCTGATGATGTTCAGGGATATGTTCAACTCCAAAGTCAGGGAGAGCCTATCTGTTTCCTGGGCAGGTTGGGGACCTAGATTATGCATCAACCATGTTCTCTACCTCTACAGGTGCTGGTCATAAAATTAGAATATCATGAAAAAGTAGATTGATTTCAGTAATTCCATTTAAAAAGTGAAACTTGTATATTATATTCATACATTACATACAAACTCATATATTTCAGATGTTTATTTTGTTTAATTTTGATGATTACAAATGACAACAAATGAAAATCTCAAATTCATCATATCAGAAAATTAGAATATTACTGAAGACCAATAAAAACAAAGGATTTATAGAAATGTTGGCCAACTGAAAAGTATGAACATGAAAAGTATGAGCATGTACAGCACTCAGTATTTAGTTGGGCCTCCTTTGGCCTGTATTACTGCAGCAATGCGGCGTGGCATGGAGTCGATCAGTCTGTGGCACTGCTCAGGTGTTATGATAGCCCAGGTTGCTCTAATAGTGGCTTTTAGCTCTTCTGAATTGTTGGGTCTGGTGTATTGCATCTTCTTCTTCACAATACCCCATAGATTTTCTATGGGGTTAAGGTCAGGAGAGTTTGCTGGCCAATTAAGAACAGGGATACCATGGTCCTTCAACCAGGTACTGGTAGCTTTGGCACTGTGTGCAGGTGCCAAGTCCTGTTGGAAAATGAAATCTGCATCTCCAAAAAGTTGGTCAGCTGCAGGAAGCATGAAGTGCTCTTAAACTTCCTGGTATGTGGCTGCGTTGACCCTGGACCTCAGAAAACACAATGGACCAACACCAGCAGATGACATGGCACCCCAAACCATCACTGACTGTGGAAACTTTACACTGGACTTCAAGCAACGTGGATGAAGTGCCTCTCTTCTTTTCCTCCAGACTCTGGGACCTTGATTTCCAAAGGAAATGCAAAATTTACTTTCATCAGAGAACATGACTTTGGACCACTCACCAGCAGTCCAGTCCTGTTTCTCTTTAGCCCAGGCAAGACGCTTCTGACGCTGTCTGTGGTTCAAGAGTGGCTTGACACAAGGAATGCGACAGCAGAAACCCATGTCTTTCATACGTCTGTGTGTGGTGGTTCTTGAAGCACTCACTCCAGCTGCAGTCCACTCTTTGTGAATCTCCCCCACATTTTTGAATGGGTTTTGTTTCACAATCCTCTCCAGGGTGCGGTTATCTCTCTTGCTTGTACACTTTTTTCGACCACATCTTTTCCTTCCCTTCGCCTCTCTATTAATGTGCTTGGACACTGAGCTCTGTGAACAGCCAGCCTCTTTAGCGATGACCTTTTGTGTCTTGCCCTCCTTGTGCAAGGTGTCGATGGTCGTCTTTTGGACAACTGTCAAGTCAGCAGTCTTCCCCATGATTGTGTAGCCTATAGAACTAGACTGAAAGACCATTTAAAGGCTTTTGCAGGTGGTTTGAGTTAATTAGCTGATTAGAGTGTGGCACCAGGGGCCATCAATTTTGAACCTTTTCACAATATTCTAATTTTCTGATATGATGAATTTGAGATTTTCATTTGTTGTCATTTGTAATCATCAAAATTAAACAAAATAAACATCTGAAATATATGAGTTTGTATGTAATGTATGAATATAATATACAAGTTTCACTTTTTAAATGGAATTACTGAAATCAATCTACTTTTTCATGGTATTCTAATTTTATGACCAGCACCTGTAATCAGCAACAGAAATGTTGCTTATTGTTTGTTTCTTTTAGTCAGACATTGATTTTCTGTACTCTTTGAATATTATCATATAATTAATGGAATGAAATTGATTAATATATCAATTTAACAGCACCTTCTGCAGGGATGTTTGCCAGTAAGGGATCCTGCATATCTCAATCAGATTTGCTCATCAGTCCACAGGTGGTTTGGTGCATTTTTCTAGAAACCATAAACTGTTTTAGCTTTGCAGAGTAGTATTCCCTCATGCTGCACTTTTGTTCATATTCTATATAGTCAATGTGGCATGCTGAGTTCCTCCTACCAAGAAAGACATCATGCCCCGGGGGTGATTGGCAGCTGACTGCAGGGTGATCAGTAAAAAGATCCTCAAGTAGGAGTTCAAGTATCTTGGGGTCCAGTTCATTTATATGGTAAGAATAGAACAGAAGACATAGGAATAATTTTGCAAGTATGGATTCTCTCCCCTGTAACCTAGAAATATCATCTCATTCTGTTTCACAATATGTACTAACAACATAAAAAATAACAACACAGAAGAAACTATTCCCACTTCACTGGGCATATGCATACTCCTGCTAATGCAATAACAGCTATTATTCCGGCAAACTTTGTATTTTCGAAGATGATGATTTTCACTAATGTTGAATACTGTTTGTTGACCCGATAGCTTTTATTATAGTGTTAAATTTGACACACAATTGTTGTTTGTTCCATGCAGCAGCTACTATCTAATCTGAGTGATAGGTATAACAATTGCAATAATAAGTACATGTTTGTATAATTACGCTGCAACAATCCCGCCCCCTTGATAAACGACCAATCACATTCACTTTATTCACTCGTGGTAAGTCGAGCACCACTCGGGAGAATTCAGAAATGCAACGGTTGGAACAGCCCTTTCCCTATGACGTTAAGGTTGCTGCATAATATAGTAGATCTGGGAATTTGACTCTAAAACAGTTTTTCTAAGAGAATTTAAGTTTGTATGTATGTGGATCAGAGTTGCTTTTTTGTCTGAGATTTTTTGCCTCTGGTGTAAAATCCTGTGAAATTGTAAGGGTTTCCTGATATTTTCTTCTTTTGGGAAACTTATGACGTAACCACAACAACCAAAGTAACATCTCTAAAGCTGAAATAATCCTTAAACTACCTCTGCAAGTACCTTCTGAGTTAAAAAGGAGGTGCCAGGAATGCAGAGCAGTAGCAAAGAGAAAAGAAAGTACATTTTAAATTTAAGCCATCTCTTCTACCAATCATTTTAGGTAATGTGAGATCATTGGAAGACATTAGAAGCAAGGACCAAGCCAGAATATTAAAAATGCAGAAACTTTTACTGAAATATGGCTTCAGGATGAAGTCTCAATATTTTTTTAATAATTGAATAATTCATCTCATATTGGGGAAATTTACCTCTGCATTTAACCCATCCCCTTAGGGAGCAGTGGGCTGACATTGTGCGGTGTCCGACGAGCAATCAGGGATTAAAGGTTTTGCTCAGGATCCCAGAGTGGAGGCTCCCTCTTGGAATTAAACACCTCTCTGCCAGTTTTTCTGACCATACAAAAAGGCAAAGTTTTAAAAAAGCCTGGAAAACTAAAGGGAGATAGTTTGACAGTGCTTGTGAACAACATATAGTGTCATCCAGAATATTTAACTATGAAGATGTCACTTCAGCCCAGATATTGAAATGAAGACAGTTGGTTTTTGACCATATTGACTGCCCAGAGAGTTTACAAGTCCTCTCTATGTAACCATTTACATTCCACCTTCTGCTATTGCCGACACTGCATTTGACATAATCAGTTATGTTGTTACTTAGCCATAGACACAACTGCCAGATACATTTCTGTCAATGACTGGTGATTTTAATCATGTCTCACTCCCTGCTACACTGCCTACTATCCATCAGTTTCTCAGCTGCTGTACCAGAGAATACAAAACTTCTGACTTATTTTATGCAAATGTCAAGGACTCGTATATTTCTGAAGTAAGAGCTCCTCTTTGGAAGTCAAATCACAATCTTTTTTTCACATGAAGCTGAAGAAGCCATGCAAGGTTCTTTTAAGGCTACAGACTAGGATGCACTGTTAGCCACAGTACAGTACTCTTTCCATTCCTTTTTACTCTGTACACCTCTGACTTTCAGTACAAGACATAGTCCTGTCATCTCCAGAGATCTTGGGATTACTCTGCTATCATGG